TATTCACCCCAATTATATGTTGTGGAGAAAACCACTGTCATGCACTTGTTTTGGAACTGCAAGGCAGTAGTTTCTATGGGTGCTCCAATTTGCATTTTGAAACAGTAAAAACCTCTCCCTTTCCTCCATGATTTGAGAGACTGTTATTGTATTCCCCTCTCAGTTGTCTTTCATGCAGGCTGAGAATTTCTAATATGTTCTCCCAATGAAAAGGCTTCATTTTTCACCTATATTCTTTCAATTTCTGATATATTTCTTTGGAGAGGACTAGAACTGCAAACAGATAAACCAGAGATTATAAACAGCAAAACAGAGTTTTCTAGGTTTCCACCACTTTCCTAATGATTTGTAACAAGTTGGCTTCCAGACCTCCATCAACCCTTTTAAAAATTGTCAGATTAGCTACTTTAAAATCTTATAGTATGCAACTCACAAAGCTATTTATCACTCATTTTTCAGCTATTTCACCTTTAAATTCTCCACGTGCAGTGCATGTGGAGATTTATTCTTTATTTGCTCATCAAGATCTGCTACTGGTATTTCATTTAAAACAGACAATCTGCTAATTCTCCACAGCAATAATCCAGAATGGGAATAACCCATAACAACTCCATGGTGAAAACAGATTTTAAAATGTGCATTTTTCTGTTATTACTTTATATTCTGAGAAAACAAGTGAAAAATATTTTTAATATTTAATATTTTTAACTGAACTTAGCAACTGCACTGAAGAGCATATCCAGTTCTAAATAGCTTTTTCCCCAAAATTTCTACACCTGCTAATTGCTGTAAGATCCACAGTTGAATGATATAGGTTTATGGTTCTGTTAATTTTTAAGACAGTACTAGATAGTGCTACTCTGTGAGCACTGAATTATCTGCTGCTCACATCTGCCCCCTTTAACTCAGTCATTCAAATTGAGCATAAAATTTGGCTGCTTCTAGACCTTGTTTTTAAGCCTTTAGTATTCATAAGCAGTTAATTCTGCCAGTTAAACATTACTGCAAGAGTGCAGTGTAACTCTACAAATACAGAGGTCTGATTGAAATTTCCACATCTAATAGGATTCATTATAAAATGTTGCTTGCTTTCAGAGTTCTGAGCTTGACCAGAATCTTTAATCCGTAATAGAAATTTAAGGAACTATTTGATGGTTGAAACTATGTGACAAGTGGGCTGGAGCTGGAAACTTTTCCATCTATATTCACAGAAGAACAACACCTGGGTGTTTTTAAGGATGAAAGATGTAGTGATTTTGAACATGACATCTGAAACAGACCAAAACTTTAATGTGACACAAAAAGAAATGCTTTGAAATGTCCTTCAAAGCAGCATTGCAAATCTGCAATAAATTAAAAAAATAAAGCAAACACCACAACACAATTCCTGCAGGAGTTTGTTCTTATCCTGTCCAGGTCAGGCCCCTCCTGATATGCAAATTAACATGCCATTAATTTCTTTTCCTGTTTAAGAAGTACAAGTGTAAAATTGGCATTGATTTCACAGAGGCACAGCAACCTGAGTTTATTTCTCCTAATTCTTATATTCTTGAGAAGCATTGATAAGTCCATGGAAACAGAAGACAGATACCATGGAACCAGTAGGTTCATCATTTTCCAAACTACTTGAGGTGCTCTGTAATTCTCTTTTGGTCATTTCCAAGGCAAGTGATATGTACACAATAGTTTATTTTCTGCTAGAAAATATTAATTTATAATCAAAAAGGGACAGAAGAGGCACAAGGATTCTAAAGTGCATCAACACTAATTGTGACACAGCAAGTCTGCCCTGGCTCACTGTCCTGCTCTCTGCAGCAAGTGAAATGCTCCAGAGATACACAATTTCAAATCAGCAAAGGTTAAAAAGGTGCCTCATAACAGGAGGGCAGAGGGGGTCAATCTCTTTAACTTTCCAGTAATAGAAAATGCAGAAGAAATCAAGGCATGTTAGAAATACATTTACATGAAGTGCATCTGGAAAAGCAGTGGGCAAGGTCTGTGCCCTTCTGTAACACCTTCATTTGGTAACCACATCTTCCCTTAATAGTATTACACACATGAGCTAATTTGCAATCAGGTTAAGCACCTTAAGGCTAATTTCCAATTAGCTTTAACTACAATTGTCAGTACTTAGCATATCTAAAAATTACGCTTAACCAAACCCAAAATTTCAAACTTTGCCTCTTCCAACTGGCACACTTTGGCTTTCTTCAAAGTTCATTTGACAACTTTTTCTCAGAATTAACCAGCACGACCAAGAGTGAGTTTTTGCACCTCAAGTTATGGTCACTCAACTAATGGTAGAGAAATCTCAACTTGAAAAGATGTTGGTAATGATCTCACTAACATCAACGTTCTGCAGTATTGCTACTTTCCTTTACACTGATATACCACGAGTAATTTCTCATGCAGCTGATACAAAGAGTTTTACGTGCCTTTTAATTTTCTGCCGCTGGAGAAATAAATGATAAAGCAGTAAAAATAATGTTTATTATGAATAACAGGACTCTCGTAAATGAGCTCAATCATTTATCCTAATTGCACCCCCAGTCCTTGTCTGTTCAGTACATACTGGTAGCCTGGTAAATACCCCTTCCACAATTTCAACATTGAATCAAATTCTCTGTAATCAGGAGCACATGTTTTGGCACAGATTTAATAAGATAAATGCACAGTGCTGTTATTGAAGTTTTATAAATTAATGCTTTCCTGGTCACTATCAAATGTAAAATATATATTCAGCAAGCACGTGACTACGTAACTGATCAGAGAGGTGGCAATCACTTCAGATGCTATGCTCAGAGTGTATGTTTGTTTAGGAAAATTTCTTTTTCTCACATGCACAGTGGTAGAAAACAAAGCTATTTGCCAGACAGATACTCTTCCCAGTCACGCATCTGTTACTGAGATCAAAAAGTGGTAGGAATGCCATTAATCTATTCTTCCATAAGGAAAGATCACAACAGGTACAATGATCAAAGTTTAATAAGAATTATGGAAGTTTTAAGTCACTTCTACAGATAATTCTTGTTTGCTTTTTTTGAACAAAAGACAAAGTTGAGCAAATGGACAACTGTTCACCACAAGAATTCTGTGCTATTCTGTAATTAAAGACAAATTAGTCTTACTGCATTCTATGTCTATTCTAGATAGCTATATTTAACTTTTCACATTACATATATCTGTAAGTTGCTACTGTGAATAGGTAATGAATAGAGCATATTCAAAAGAACTTGTACATTTTTCACATATACCAATTTTGCACTCTATGAATGTCAAACATTATGAGTTTATACTGTAGACATAAAGAACCTAACAGAATTCTCAAAATTGTCTTTTTGCAGATCCAGAATTTCCAATCTCTTAGAAACTTGCAATATTTTGCTTCCTTTTTTCCTATTCTCCAGAGGCTTATCCTTCAATTACAAGTTCTTTGTTTCCCATTGATGACAAGTAACAGATGAAGTCTGAGAGCAACATCTAATCCTCTACTCACTCCAGCAGATTTTGGGTAAAGTAATGAACCTCTTACCAATTGAGAAGCTTTTTGTTCTTTTCCTCTTGAAAAAGAATGTGCACAACATCTATACTACATGTGAATTGTGCATAATTTCCAGGCTTTCATGATGCCACTCGTATGGTCATGTTCAGTCAAACTGCATGACAAGTACTGAGCTCTTTAGTAACTAATTTGATATCAATTTACAAGTGAAATTAAAAATACAGTAAGTTCTTCAAAGAATTCACAGAATGAGTCAGGTTGGAAGGGACCACAGTGGGTCATCTGGCCCAACCTCCACGTTCCAGCACGATGAAAAGAAGAAAACAACAGCAACCTGGGAAATAAGCAAGAGAAACCAGAGCTCTTCTAGTGGTCATGGAACTGCTACATTATAAGAGTAGCAGAGATTTGGTGGGGTGAGATCCTGAGGCTTTCAATCATTTCTGTGTTAGCAGACTGATGTCTGGGTTTGAGAATGTGTAGCCAGTGACAGTAGAATGGAGGAACATGTGAAAGCCAGAAAGACAAAAATTATCGCTCCTGTCAGCAAGTCAGGTTTCCACACTCACTTGTGCATTTGAATTTGATTTATTATTCAGTGGTTTTGAACAAATGACTAACTGTTCCATACTGTCAGCTTTTCTTTCCATTACCTAAAGTCTTATTTTTCATTCTCTATTACTGGCCAAAAGGTGGGTGTTTTCCTATATTTTACAACTATCTGCCAACACTTTATAAATGATTCAAAATTCTACAAAAACCACCATTCAGAGTGAGAGGAATGTTAACAAGCTTCAGCAGTCTTGTTCAGAACTAACTACATGTGGTTGAAACAAAAGTGGAGAAATTTTGCAGCTGCTAATAATCCCCAAATAAAGAAATACAAACAGCCTGGGACAGCATATTAAAGATTGTTTAAAGTTTGCCCTGCCACTCTATCCATGTGGGTGGATGGTGTCAAGAATCCAGGAATCAAAGAACAGTATAAGGTTTCAATGCCTCAACTGCAAGTCAGGCTAGAGCACAAACCCCTAAATTCAGACCTGCTTGAGCAGACCACACTATGAACACACTCAATGACACATAGTGAAGACTTGTTTCATCATTCCAAATGTTTTTAAGTGAGCTACTACAGTAAGCCACACCTGTCTGTCAAGCAATATTTCTAGTCATTGCTATCTCCAAAATTGAAATAAAACATGTACATGCACATTGAAGAAGGCATTACTGATTAACAGTGAATTGTTGCACTCCCTGGCCAATGTAGTCATCTTATTAGCATGCTTTTAAAGTATTAAACTACTAAAAGTCAACCCTCCAAATATGCTATTTGGATAATCAACACAATCCTATGGTTGCATATATATGAAGTTACTGCTGCCTGTTCATTAGCTAATCTCTAATGAAATTATACGGAGATCTTTAAATTATTAAAATGTTCTATTTCAGTCAGAAGCTTTTACACAAAATCTGTGTTGAGATATATCTTATCACTTACCTGATAAACATGGAATGCATTAGCAGCTTTTCCACGCAGAAAGACTGAGGGAATCCAAACATTAATAAGAGCACGATTTGATCTGAGGAGGAGAGAGAAAAACTTACAACAGGGAATCATATTTATGTGTATGAATTGCAAAGTAACTACAACCAATGGTTTAGATAACGATCAAAGTGACCAACAAAGCAACTTAACATTTCAAATGAAGTATCAGAAAAATTGGAGTTCTGCCTGAACTTTTTATATGTGCTGTATTTAAAAGTGCTCCCTAAAATTAACCCAACTGAAATAGAGCACTGATATAGAGCACCAAAACAATTCCTTCTGCAGGTTTTCTGGGTTTTGTTTCTTTTTTCACAGCATGGATTTGACTACTTTTGATTATATGCATGAAACAAAAATTATTCATTTCATCAAACCCAACATTTTGGTCCACAAAACTCAGCTAAATCCAAACTCCTTGCAAACTCCAAACAACATTATTAAAAACTACACTAGGGCATGGAATGTGCAGCTCTCCATACTTTAATAATAGAACACCACAGCTAAGAATTCAGTTATTGAAAATAACATAGGAAAAGCAAATTATTGAATCTGTTTGTTTATTCTTTTTTGCCATAGAGACAGTATGAAGAGAAAAATTCATTAATTACTAAACTTACATTTCAAAATCTGACAAACTCTGATCTTCGGATGTTTGACTCAAATCTCCAGGGACCTGTGTTTACAATACAGAAATAATTCCCACACACTGGTTATTAGGTTTTCAACTAAGAAAGCACAATATTATAAAGAAATTACAATTCAACATTCAATTTTATAAATGCCAATAAAAATTATTACTGAGAAACTATAAAAGAAAAACAAAATCATTCAGAAGGATTGTGAACACATCACCCCTAGTGAGTCCTTCGTGTTAGAATTTGCTTATAGTTTTGTAAAGAAACAAGAATCAGATGCTATCAAAAATACCAAGTAAGGTGCTGTTGTCAGATCTGCTATTTCTTATAAGCTGTTACATATTTCATCAGGAGTTTGAGTTTATTCCAGAGTGGTAGATTCTACAGTGCCATAAACAAACACTCACTGGGCCTCTCAAATCAATCAGTTCTTGTCTCATCTGGGACACGAGAGCTTCCTTAGCCATCAGGGCACGGTGCAGCCTCTCATTGAATTCAATCAGCTCCCCGTGCATTTCAGCCACCTGAAAAGCAAAGCCAAGAGGTAATTGTATTTTAAACTGAAAAAAATAAAATAAAATAACCACACTCTGTAATTTCTTATATGTATATCAAATTTTATTGAGGTTTTGTTTTATTTTGCCATACTGTCCCAAGGAATGCATCTCATTACTAATGTCTGACCATTAAGAACAGAGATTGTTATAATTTTGACTCATGCCTTGCAACGTAATTCTGATATTGAACTCAACAGGACCAAATACAATTCTATACTAAATTTTATTCCTAACACAGGAGATCCTATGACAACTGATTCTAATAAAACTTTTGTTCTCAGTTTAATTCTTCGATGAACACAGTCCTCAACAGGTACAAACTAATCACAGAATTCTGAACTGGGAGTAATGCAAATGCACAAACTGCATTAACTTTGTCAATAATTCATGAGTGATGTATTCTGCACTCTTACTTGGAGTTTTAACAGCACAGGAGCTAGAAGTCCACTCATCCCAGGTAAGTTTGTGAGGGGTCAAAGGAGCCTAAATACCAGTTAGTCTGGGGCACAGGTTGTTGTGCACAGGTAAACAGCAGAGCCTCTCGTGGGGCCCCTTCAGACACCAAGTCTGGCTCTGTGTGTGCGCTCTCCATTTCGGAGTTAGGAAAGCATCAAGTGATGCAGGATGTGACAAGGGCTGGATGAACATCAAGGACGTGAAGTGTACAGTAGACAGAAGAAAACAGCAGCACTCAGTGGTTGGCCCCTCCAGGAGGCACAGCAGCTGCCCCACCACTGTTGTTATACCTGTTTGCAGTTACAGCAACTCTTCAAATGCCTCTTCATATCAGCATCCAATATGAAACACAGCTGAATAAGATGAATATCAATCCAGCACCTTCAATATTATCACAGGGACTTGGACTACTGCCAGCTCTCTTAAGAGTTCATAGTTTCCTTTCTGGAGGCAGTTCATTACTATCTATGAATTTCACAGTCTCCTTTTCTTGAATTACTCTGCCTTTTCCCCCTTCCCCAGGGAAGCTCCCCAGAATAAAGCAGTTGAATTCGGTTTAATTTAGTGCTCACTTTTAATTCTGTGCTTTGTTCCACACAACCTGTCTCGTTCACGCAATCAAAGCAACCAGAAAAAAGCAGCTTCAATTTGACAAGGCAGGATCTGACATCATTGATTAAAAATAAAAATAATTTTCCTGAGGTAAACTTCAAGTATTCTTTTCCAATTTCTTTTTACATTAGAGGGAGTCCTTCAAATCCAGTAATTCATCAGTGTAACACACATGCAAAAAGGAGACAAACTAAGCCAACTTTATACTAGAGAAAATACTAATATAATGCCATTTACTCTAGATAAATTATTTTCCATATTCGTTTAACCACTAATTCCAATTTAAAGTGAGTGGTGTAACATTTAAGGATATGATAAGTCTCTGATTCTGCTTAATACTAACAGGTCACTTTTAATTACATAGATATTGGGTTGGGAGGCAGAACTTCCTTGTATTTTACATAAAAAAAGGTAGAGAATATATAGAATAGAATATAGAATATTCTAGTTGGAAATGCACAGAGAAAAACAATAATGTTGATATCTGGTTGACTGGTTCTCAAAATCAATATATAAATTTGTGAATGGATACAAAACTTAGTAGTTTGCATATCTGAAATCATGTTTGATTTTTCAGTGCCTGTCTCTATCAGAAGAACAAAATTCAGACTATCTGATATTATACGTGACTCTTCTCTCTCAGTCTAATTTGGATGTCCTTGAAATAACTTTCTACTTGCAGACTCGATTAATATGTAAATTCAACAACTCTCTCAAAGCACGAGAAGTAATACAAAAATTTATAAGTGTCCCTAGCAAAGTTAAATAATAAAAAGGAAATTTAACAGCAAATCACTTGTTACATCTTATCAAAAGGACAAATTGCCAGGTATCACTTATTAGTAATTAAGTTACTTCAGTCCTTCTTCTTGTCAAAGCAAAATGCATTACCACCACAGCAAACCCAAAGGAGTGATCAGGTATACTGCTGAATTACAACATTAATTTAGCTTTCTTTAATATCAAAGTCTGCTAAAAACAATAAAGAGATCTCCATATAATTATATTCTTTCAGTTATATCTTATGTCATCACATCTTCCTTTATTCAATCCACACTGAAGCTTAAGCAACAAATTGCCCTACTGCAACTTCAATCATCTTCACAGTTGTTTTTCTCCACAACAACATATTTGAAGCAAAAAAAAATCAAAGTACAAATAACCTAAGTTTCCCTTGGACAGATGATCATTCAGACTTGTTGGTGGCCATATCAGAAAAAACGCTTATACCACTTCTTCTTTCACAGCAAAGGACTAAGCTGCTAACTTAAAACATGCTAGGAATGTTTCACTAAGCATTTAAATAACACAAACTGTCTTGGAAGTACACACTTAGAGCAGAGAAACATTTAAGAACTTGCAACAATTCAAGATTTCTTTTTAGTATTATTTGCAGATAAAACTCATAGAAGTTTTGCACAACCCACATCTGAGTCAATTACTTATTTTCAAGTATATAGGCATTTTTTCCCCCAGTAGTCACAAAATACAAAACATTGTATCTCCCAAGAAACTCTAGACAGAACTGGAAGTTGCTTCCTTTTGCTCTTAGTGGAAGCACGGATGTATTTTTCCTGTGAGAAGATTTCATTTTCAGAAATTGATGATGTTCTACATTTTTCCCCAACAGAAACAAAGTCAAAGATCTTCAAAAAAAGGAGTAGGTATCCTACTACTAATGAATAATTCCATTTTTCTACAAGTGAAAAACAGTAAGACTCTAAGTGGCAAAGACAATTCTAAAAATCTATTGATACAGCCATAAAATGCTCAATTATTGCTTCCTGTTTCAAAACTTTTGCAAAAAAAGTCCATACTTGTGTCAGACTTCCCTGGACAGAGGAAATTCCATCTCATCTCAGTAATAGTCTCACTTAATGAAAGCTACAGAAGGACTTGTGATTCCACAGAAAAGTGCTGACCAGTTTAGTAACTTAAGACTTGTTTTCTACACTGACTTCCAACACAAGTAATATTTAATTACAAGCTGTGTATCATGCTAAGACCTCTAAAGAAGGATTGTCACAGGGGTTTGTCTGCCACAAACTCTCAAGTGTCAGCACCAAATCCCTGAGCATGCAGAACAACCTTGGTAGAACTAAGGAGGCTTTCAAAGCTGAAAGAGATTTTACCTGTGTTCTTAATTAAGATATTCTTTTGATAGGTACAGAACAGAGGAAGGGAGTCAGAAGAACTCAAGTACAAGTATGCATTAGGGAGAGAAAAGGATAACCAAGTATGAATGTTTTAGAACTGTATCAATCTCCTTGATGCATGACCTGCATTTCTAGTCCTCTTCATGTTAATCAATTAATGTGGGTATCCAATTTCAGAGTATTTTGGGCAAGAGAAAGACAGAGAATTTTTTTACTTTTTATAAAAATGTTCTTTTAATATTTAATAGGAGATATGAGTATTAGATATTAAATTTCATTACTTTTGGCTTGAAAATAATTTGTATTTAAATTTAGGATGAAACCCTAATCTATCTCTTTTTTTCTTTAATGACTCTTACATTAGTCTTAAAAGTAAATCTTGCATTAAGAACTTTTTCTAACCTGGTCATATCAACAGAATTAGTTGCTTCCATCATACATTCCTGTAAGGCAGTATTCAAAAAGCAACACAAAAATGAAACATGGTTTGGCAATCAGAAACCAGAAGGAAAGCACAGAAAAAGCTACAGATTTCAGTATGTTCTCATTTTAAATAAAGCTCAAGTGCCAACACAGCAATGCCTGTAATTATGTACTGTAATTTACACAAAACCTGAAACCTGCTGTCTGTGATGTTTTCAACTTCACCACCATCAGTTAAAACCTCAAGGAACTTGTTTATTTATTAAAACCTTCATTTTTATACCAAAGCATAAAAACGTACCTCTGTTAGGAAAAGTACTTTTAATTATCTGGATTGCTTTAAATACGCCTTGAAGTTGAATGAAGAAAATTTACCCGCAAAAGCAAGAAAATTAAATTTTTCATTCCTTTTATTTTTGAAGAAAAAAAATCAGACTTACCTTTTACATTACTGAGGAGAAAAATAACAGCTAAGCAAAGAAACCATTTAAGCTTCAAATGTTATAATGTAATTATGATTCCATTAAATTTGTGCAGTACAAACTTTACCTCAATCAATTTTCTTTCATAAGAGCTGGCGAGTTCCTCGTTGTTCTCTACTTGCTTTTGCTCTGGAATTGTAAATTCACCATCAGTGCTCCAAATGTTTGGTAGAACTAAAACAAAAAGATACCTCAAATTAAAATGTTAAATTCCACAAACATCTAAGACATCCTGTGTAGAAGTAATAGCTCTAAGAAACAGTTACTAAAAGTATCAAAATAGAATGTAATATTAAACAGTATTAGAAAGACTAAAATACAAATTCTGCAAGAAGCCTTTTTTGTGAGCAATATTTAAAGTGGTACTCTTATTAGGAAAAAAAATGTAAACTAAAAGCAATTGGTAGTTTTCTGAGTAATACATGAAGGTAGTAACTGCAAATCCTGCCCAAAGTCTTTCAAAACTAAGTCTCTGCTTCTCTTTTAAGACTTTTTTCTACTTGGTTTCCAAAATATCATTTCATATTACTTGCACAGACTGCTTACACATCATAGAAATTACAGAAAACAGGGCTGAGAATGGACATTCCATACTCCATCCAGTATTTCATGGTTTTGCATAAAGCAGAATCAGCTGTAGTTATTCCATTCCTGACAGTTAATTGTCTAATTTATTCCTAGAAACCTCCAGTATGAAGATATCATGCTTCCCTGTACAATCTATTTAAATTTAAGTATTCTTCTCATAAAAGTTGTCTTGATAGCTAATCAAACTTCCTTCACCTGCCATGTAAGCCCATTATTTCTTTTATCTGCAGTGAATGAAAACTACAGTTTATTCTATTCCTGTTCCCAGCCATCATTTATCTAAGTGATGAACACTTTAAAGGCCTATTCTAAGTAAATCCCCTCCAAGTTACACAAAGTCCAATTCAACTTTTCCTCGTAGATCACGAATTTCTAAGAAAATAAAAGTTAGCACATAAAAGTAAACAAGCCCTAATAAAAGAGAAGTTTAATAAATGCTTTCATTATTTTTCAAAACTTAAACTATACATTCACCCACTGTAAGGCAGATAGAAGACACAGTATTTCATCTGACTAAATACTCTTAAGCCTGAGAACTGATTTTTGCTTTGAGGAAGAATATATGCATTCAGAAGTTTATTATTCTTTAAGTGAATTCAAAAGCTATTTCAAGATCTTTTCCTTGCAAATATTGCTTGAAGTTCTCCAGCCAGAAACTTTAAAGATCAGCATTTTTATACAAATAATATTCTATCTAAGCGGGTTTGAAAAATGGTACACAGTCAACTCCTGCTGATGGTTGAGAAGTCAAGATGCTGATTTATTAAATATTTAAATACCAATATCAAACTGCTCAGTCCACGGCAGTGATCGCTCATTTTGAAAGCTGATATGATATTCTGAACTCGACTCAGTTCTGACTCTTGGGCAATTTATTTATAATCACATTTGCTGAATGGGGTTTTTTGGCTTTTTTAAGTCACCACAAGGCAAAGTATCATGCTGAGTTTCATTTATTATTTTAGGAAACTATTTAAAAGCCATACTCAATAGCATTTTATCTTATTGTAGCAAACATGAAGAGTCTTCACTATTTATAGTGATAAAAATAACAGCAGCAGAAGCTCAATTTATTTTGACTCTTTCCAAATAGTTTCACAGAAAATCTAAAAACCTAGTGTTCTAAAACCTACAATGCACTTCAGACTTTTGTTTTGATATCATTTGGAAAAAGATTAATTATCATGAAAATTATTTATTATGTATACAAACCATGAGTGCAATAGTTTCTACAAATCTGGTAAAAGAAAAAACTTCTTGTGTCTCACTCTTCTTTTTTGCAGTTAGTTCTCAGGGATTATTTACATACTTAAGTACTTACTTTGAGTCAGAGGCCCCAGTACTACTAAAATTTCACCCAAATCTTCAATGGCAGCTAAGAAAATAATTCTAGTTTTATAGAAATACAATGTGTGGAGTTAGAATGTAAAAAAAATTATTACAAATAGTGCATGTAGCTGAATCTGGTCACTAATGGTAAATATTACAGAAAATTACTGTGGATTGATTAAATATCCTTGGAGCATAAAGCATACATGTGTTCATTTTTAGAAATGTTGGTACTGTTCCATCCCCCTTTTTCATCTATAAAATCTGACCATCCTACTCTGTTTCTATTCTTACCACTCACTAATTTGCATAATTTTAACATGGTGGAATATAGCTAGCCTAGGAATACTTTTTTCTTTTCCTATAATTACACTCATCATGGAAACTGTCACTATTTAATGAAGGATAATTTCTGCTATTATAAGAAGCCTAAGCGATGGTTTTCGTGAATAATTCTTAATATGAATCACTACACTCGGCACAGTCGGAAGTAAAAACATGTGTTCTCACTAACAAATACCCTTTTAAGGATGAATGAAGTTTTTCAACTCCAGATAAGTATAGTGACTGGCCCTTAAGAGCAGTGCTGTTCATTCATATAGCCACTTACAGGGCCACAATATTCACAATTAAAAAACCATCAGACAGATGGTGCCAATTTCTGAAAAGCCATCTCCTCCCTCAAAACACCTTCTTGTAGTCAGTGGAAATACAGGTCCCACCAGGAGAGGATTCAGAATCAAGACTCCAATTCATCTGGTCATGGACACTTCTATCACAGACCCCAAGAAAAACAGGTAAGCCTGCTGCTAACTCATTATCTTTCAGATATAAAACCTGCTCATTACTACTCAATACAGTGTCTATTTCAAATACCCTGATCTCCAAAACAAGAGTATAACCTAGAGATACTAAATTTTCTCTCCTCAAAATAATTATTTTTATGTTCCAATATTACAGCAATTCGCAGATTATTGTTTATCTGACAGTTTTTTCTGGGAAGTTTCTTACTGAAAAAAGTAAGGCCACCTCATCTACCAGACAATGCTCTGTAAAAATAAGTACAAAAGTCTACATCAGTAATTTTCCTCAAAAGGAAAATATATCAAGTATGTTATTTTCACTACTGGGAGATATTACTCTAGGATAGTTTGAAGAAATAAACAGGGTTTATAATCATCTCTTGCTATCCCCAGTTTCATGTAAATGATTTCATTTGTTTTGGTGAAGACTCAGCAAGGAAAGCAGAGACTTCTTCATTGTTTCTGCTCAGCAGTAATTTGATAGCATTCCAAAACATAACATTCCCTTGTTTGCCATCAATCTGCATTACAAAACTCCTCACACAACAGCAAATAGCCCAGTCAGAGATGAATCAGGGACAGTTCTCACAGAAGCAGAACTCTAGTCTTTTCAGATGCTGATATTTTCCCACAGGGAGAGCTCATGTCACACTGGGCAGCACGTGGAAGCACAAACCCTGTCCCCAGCCACACTAGGATTGTGTTGTGTGGCTGAAGAGTTGGTTAAAGACCAGGGCTTGCACAGGACTGGGTGGTTCGTTGTCTAAAAAGATTCATTCCAGGATCAAGAGAGGGGGGAAAAAAAAGGTTTCTTGTAAATCAGAGCCAGGTCTAAGCACTGGGAACTCTTTCCCTGTCATTTCTCTACAAGTCCAGGAGTCACGTCCATCATTTAGTTCCTATCCCTATGCCTCCAATATACTGTTTCTCAATGGCAGCATCCACAAAACCAAACCCTGTGTATGATTTTTCTCCCTCTTCATGTTATCCTTACCTTCCACTGTTTGACCTTCTCGTCTGAGCATCTGGACAGCTCCTACATACTTCTTAAGTTGCACTTTTAGCACCTCATTTTCTCTGTTCATAAAAAGAAAAGAATAAATATTATTGGTTTCTCAAAATAGATGAAAGCCCTTTTCAATGGAAACAAACATACTATCTGTGATAAGCTTTACCTAAGTTGTGTCACCCCAGTGGGGGAAAAAAAAAAAAAAAAGATTTACACATTAATAATACATTTACAGCAGAGTACCAGGAAAACTAGTTTTCCAGGATCACATAAACACATCAGTGAAACAGATTATCTTGTAATCAGAAACTTTCATTAACTGTTTAATTTAGATTTTATATACTATGCTATATTGATGGCAAACAAATGATACAGTCTCTCTAAATCAACAATCAATTAAAACACAAGGATGGGATACTAGAAAAGGACATTTGTTGCCAGAGGAGAGGCACATACTCCCTGGGCATGTAACAGATCATAGAAAGCTGGAAACAGATGAAACACAAAGGCAGGTATTTTATTTATGGGAATTTATTTGAGAATTAGAAGTATTCAGAAACACGTGCAAATATGTTTGATGATCCTTATGATACTATATAAACACACACAAAATATACATATATTATGTATATATACACGCACACAAATAAACTGCTGTTGTGAGCAATGCCACATTGCTCATATAAGAAGCCTTGACTGGTACTATATTCATATTTCTATGGATTTCAAATCAGCTTTCTGAACTATGCAACCCCAATTTTATTCAGTGTTAATCAATAGAAGTGGAACTATATACAATATAATGAGTTTATATTATAAAAACCAATCTCCACTTCTTCTTCCTGCTCCCTCCCAGAAGAAGTTCCTTCATCCCTTACTAAATATGATTAAGTTGATTATCTTGTATCTCACTCTTTATATAAAATGTTTTTGTCACTTGTGACATGTCACCAACTAACTAAGTAGGAAGAAAAAGTCATTTATTATAGGAATATTCAAATTAGTTTTCACAAGCACAAACAAGAGATATTTTTTCCTCTCTCTAAGAAGCTGCTTAGGGGAAGTGATGGAATCATTTCAAGATGCACAACACATCATTTCACCCATCACTGAAGGGCTATGGCTGTGAATGAAGTGTTGTAAAACAGAATAATATAAAATGCCAAATCCAAATGCAATGTGGCTTAAGTAATATAGACAGTAGATAAGAGGAGGCAAATTAGGTGACAGAATCTACAGTAAACAGAAGGTGCATAGAAGTGTAAGACAAAGTATGGCCAAACTTCTCATCCCCCATTTCCCTCCACGGTGCATTTTCATCTTCTCTATCTGCTTTTCTTGCTACAAAGCCTGTCCTTTGTATTATGCTTTCCTCCAACACTGCTGAATATAGTCTAAGGATATGCAATCTGAGATTATCCAATATCACAGTCAACTTCAATAAATTTCTTTGCCTTGCAAAGGGATGTAATAGCATTCCATACAGAAAAAGGAATCTCAATTAAAAATCTTTAGTATTGCCAAGAAGCCACTGGCACAATATGTCCATGAATTTGAGAAAGGTTCTTTGATAAGGACAAAAAAAAACAACAAAGAACCAGCTGACAGCATAATACTACAGAGTCTATTGAGTCCATTCTATCAGAAGACTGGGAAATAGGTTGAACACTGAGACTGTTTCTTTTGAAACAATGTAATAACTCTTATGAAAGAGCTATTCAAATTTTTCACACGGAAGAATGAGATTATCACTACTTGAAACTGAAATTACCTAAGATTTTTTCCATTTTTCAAAGAGAACTTTGTAAACTTGGTAAAAATTTCTCTCAGCCAGCATTTTGTCTAGGAGAGCAGAGACTCTCTGGAGAGTCCAGGAGACCAGCTGAGTAACTGCAGATATCCAGAAGCCATCATTTCAGCACTGACTGATGTGTCACTGAAATTTGTGTTCTCAAAGCCTCCAGGAAGGCATTTATGTCAAATTCTTCAAAAGAGCTTTGGGGACACACATAAATATCAGCTCTCGTAATGTGAAAAATATTCATTCATCAAATCACAACACTCAGATTCTTACCGAATGATTTCCCTTGCCTTAAAATATTCAGAATTTTATAAGTGAGGAAAATGTTCTACTCTGGTCATGTGATCAATTGTTCTCAACATAAACAGTGAGGTTTCTCTACTTCAAAACATCTAAAACTTGGTTTCCTCTTATTCACCTACTGTATTATGCACTCACAGAGCAACTGCAAACTTTTTGTTACTTCAAATTCTTTTGATTATTCATCTTGCCCAACTCCTTGGTTTAAAGTATTATTTATTAAAAAATTTTACTACCCTTACTATTGCAGCAGCATCACCTACAGTGCACAAAGCGAACCAATAAAAAAAATTAGAAGGAAAACCTATATTCCAAAATAACTATATGCAATGTTAGTAGGCTAGAAAATGAGTTGCAATGAATCATTAAAGAAATGCATCCCAAGTCCATAGTAACTGGTGACACAAGAATTTGTTGTACCTAAGCAGCTCCCAACACTGTTTTTATCACACAACAAGGCAAACTGACTGTCAGAAGAGCAATCAACACAACATACCCAGTCTCAGTAACAATAACAGAAATTACATAAACTTGTTTAAAAATAACTAGTTAGTCTAAGTGAACATCTCTTCAGATCTTGTTATAAAAGCTCCTTATCTTTTCTTTAAAAAGGTATGTGCATGACAAATATCTGATTCACCCATATGTCACTGCAAATTCTAAAACTGTGGGGGAAGTGAGTCAAAGAAACATGAATACACAGTTCCTAGAACCTGAAATGTGAATATTAAATACTGAAGTATTTGCATTGTCTCTATTGCCTTACAGCACATGAATGTCAAACCCACTTACCCATATCTCTCCCTACCTCAAGTGAGTAGTTTGGTTTGATGTGTCACCAAAAGCAGAATTAGTAGTCTTCTAAATACTTTTTTTTCTTAAGAAAGCTTTATATTTATCATTTCAAATATGAGCTCTGCTACACAATAAAAAGTTTACAGGAATTTCAGCTGTGGCACTTTAGGACTGACACTGAGCACTCAGCCTGTGCAGGCAGAAAACAAACCCTTCTCTCTGAGATAAGGCCCAGATTACTGTTCTTATTTAACTCTTGGGGTGGGTTTGTTGTTTACTATACATGTGAATCAACCCCAAGAATTTACACATCATAGTTTACTCTAGAGATTATTTAGAATTGTAAGAAAAATCAAACTATTACAGTAGCATTTACCTTCAAAAGTCTTTCCTAAGCTAAATCACATTTAGATGAGGGGAGGGTTACAATTCTTTCAGTAGAGCTGTGGTATAAAGTCAAGCTGAAGGCAAATCACTACTGGGGCCAACGTTGTTTAACACCCTCATTAATGACCTGGGTGCTGGGCCAGGGTGCAACATCAGCAAGGTCACAGCCAACACAAAACTGGGCAGCAGCTGATACACAGGGGGGTTGTGCTGCCATTCAGAGGGACTGGGACAGGCTGGAGAATTGGACTCAGAAAAATTCCATGAGTTCAACAAGGGGAAATGAGGAGTCCTGCATTTGGGGAGGAATAGCCTGAGGCACCCATTCGTGCTGAGGGGCTGGAAAACAGCTCTATGGAGAAGGATCTGGGAGTCCTGGCAGAAAAGCAGCTGACCACAAGTCAGCAACACACCCTTGATGGCAAAGAAAGGCAACAGCAACACTGCTGGCAACACTGCCCAGAGGAGCTGGGGGGTGTCCATCTGTGGGGATGTTCAAAACCTGACTGGAAATGGTCCTGAGCAACCTGTTACAGCTGATCTTCCTGGAGCTAGGGGAAAACAGCTGCACAACCATTTCTGTACCAAACAGAAATTGGTACTTGTTTGTTAATAATGTTTGGCAACCACTGTTGCTCGTGATGCTCAGCCATGAAAACCTGTCAAGAGGACAAAAAAGCATCAGCTCATGGAAAATGAAGTCATGCTTAAGTAATCCAATAGGAGAAAGACAGATCAGATGGAAGTGTCACTGAAGGAAGGGATAATCCATTCTTTACTGCTTACACACCTGAGGGCACATACAGAAGGGTATTTGTGTCAGCACTGACATATGTTATATAACTTAAAGCAATAAATAAAGACACAAATATTCCTACTCATTTCAACTGACACTAGGACCACTCAGCACAGTTGCTACTTACTGGAGTAAGAACTTGCTGGGAGCAGAGGGGTCCCCAAACTAATCTCAGTGTGGTACTACATAAACCACCTACCAAAGGAAACACTGTGGAGCAATATTAAAATGAAATAGCTTCCAAAACAAGTCCACACTGGCTCCAAATCTGACAGCTAGAATCCCAACAATCCAGCTTGTGTATTTTGGGGGAAGAAAAAAAAAAATAATTTTTCTTGCATGTAGACTTTTTTATTCCCTTGTTCCACTGCAGTTATTTTTTGAGACCTTTTCAGTCCTTCTTACCGTGCCAAGGCCTGGACTTTGGTGGCATGTCGCTCTTCCTGCTCTGCTACTTTCCTTCTCCAGTTGTCCATCTCCTGCCTCAGTGCTGCTGAGAGCTCCATCTCTGCATCCAGCAGGTTTCTCAGGGATCTGGAAGAAGGCAACAGCCTCTGGTTTGAACCCTGCAAACACTATTTAGTAGTTAGAGTATATTCTAGGAATCACAGAGTAGGTTGCCTGAATGACACCATTAATGCAATCCTAAAATTTCATTATTCGATGGAATAAATTCACGTCATTTGATTATACAAAGACATGAAAAGCTACAAAGAAATAGACCCAATCTGAGCAGTTGTAAATGCTTAGTATTAATTTCTATTACAATCTCATCAACATGCCCAAAGCACAACCTATCATGGGATCTACTGCACCATCACGCACAAAGAATTTACTATTTAAAAAAGTTTATAATGTGTTTTCAGTGCTTCAGTGCAACTCCATACATCTCAGGAATAATCTATAGGCACTATATTTACTAGCAAGGACAGGAGACAGACATGTCTCTGCTGCAGATCTCTGTGTAAAGCCTTTGATGAGATAGCAAAGGTCAGCACGATGCATAATGGAAAAACCCAAAGCATTCTGCCAAAAAACACAAAGCTGAACAGGGCAATAACGTGCAATTATGGGAGTAGGAAGAAGAGGAGGCAGGAAAGTAGAATCAGTTGGTAGTCTCAGCATTAAAAAGTCCCAAAACATCTACAGGAAAAGTAAATTACCAAACATTGAATACATTTGTACTTTCATTCATCTAATTATGTGTTTCAATAAACTAAATAAATACAAAGTAGGTTTGATGGCATTTTAAATAAGAGACTGATCATTTTTACATTTACCTCATCATTTTGCCCCAAGTGAGCATAAAGACCCTCACAAATGAAAGCCACGTTCAGCATTACATTGTCAGCCATCCTACATCAGTTCTAAACCAGAAGAGGAAAAAAAGACATTTTCTGAATATTTGTAAAAGGGCAAACTTTTGCTCATTTGGAAAGTTGTCTTAAGAAATCTTCAGAATTTTTTGGCTGTAAGTTTTGGTTTCGAAAAAACTGCAACTGCAAAAGCTGCCAAAATACAAAGATTTATCTGTGATTAAACTAAACTAACTCAAAGGAAGAAGTTGACCTGAAAACATTACTTTCAGTATCGACATTTAAATAGTGAAGTATTAAGTTTACCCTTCACAGAAAAATAACATATACATCAAAAAGATTACACAAAAATTATGTATAGTTTCACATAAAGGACAGCTTGTATTAAAGAACAGATTTTTTTTTTTTTAATTACAGTCCCTCTTGACTTAAAAACGAAAACTACCTATTCTGCTCTTCCAGTTCATCCTTCCTATTCATCATGGCCACGATAGCTTGACGAAGTTCATCTAAAGAGAAGGGAGAAAAAAGATTCAATGTCTGTGTGCACTTTGCTCAGTTCAGATCTAGAAGTCATGTACACAGGCAACACACTCCAAATGATGCCAACACCATTTGCTATTCAGCAAAGCACATAAAAACGCTCTCAATCTCATCACTAATTTGAGCAATCTTTCAAAACCAGGGTAATTTAACACCGTATCAGAAGAATTGATCAAACCAAATGAGTCTGCATCTGGCTCTAATACCAATGTTTACAAGTGTGCCCTGGGTGCAGCTGGTTTGTTTTAATCACAGCTGTATTGCAGAATGCACCTTCTCACTCTGTGCATATTAATGACATACACTGGTACTCGTTCAGCTCCTTCAAACTCCTTCTTTTCCTTCCTACAAATCCTGGCACAGGAAATATCACCCTTACAGGGAGGTGGGAATACAGAGAATGTCACTGCTTCTTCATGGCATTTCTTCTCAAGCTCACTCTTAAATACAAGATTTCTGAATGTTGTAATTTCCTACAAAAACCTTCCTATTTTTAAAAAATACTTTCTGACATTAAATCAAGAATAAAAATTTTAAAAAACCCAACTGACAGAATTTTAGAATTTTTAAAGATTTCTTTAGGTTTTAACATGATACCAGAAAAGACAAATACCATACAGAAAAGTGTCAGTTCAAAGCACTGCCTCACCTGGAGTCCTTCTGCTGAGGTTTTAGTAAAGGTTTTACCATATAACTGTACAGATGCACCATGACTACTTACTATAAATTTACAGAAAAATATTAGGACTTAATCATCTAATCTAAAATTATAGATTTTTGACTTCCAGGTCTTGCATGAATACATGAAATAAAAGAGGTCTTCAGAGATTTCAGTGGCTTCTAGCAATCATTAGGATGGATACATATCATCCTAAACCAGATTTTTTTTTTAACAATTGCACTAATCATTTCACATATATTAATCAATAATTTTATGAGTGCTAGCTACAAGGACACAATTATATTAAAACATCCCTCCCAAGAGTTAAATGAAATGTTCTCATGTTTATATATAATAAATCAACCAGCTCTGTTTTGTAAGTATTCAACAAATTTGTCAACAAATTTTGTGTGCTTTTACTGAAAACATAACAACAGAACTGGCACTACTTGTTTTCTTCCAGCAAGCAAAGCCAGTGGAGAACTTTTTTCCCTTCACATTCAGTTCACTTCTTTATCATATCTTTCCTAGTATTTTCTACAGTTACGGAAATTTTTGCCCATTCAAGAAAAACTTAACATTGTGCTGTGGATCAGATGAAGTCTGCTAAATCCAGTAGTGGCCAAAACATGAAGGATTCATGTCAGTCCAGCGTATCAGTCAGTGCTGCAGACCCCACAGTTCCAGGCTGGCATTGGTAACCTCCAGGTTAATCCCACCCTTGCAGGACTGCAGGATTCAGTAGGGTTCTCCTATCATCTGAAATCAGCCAACTCAAATTTCTCCATACTAGATTTTTTCCAAAACATTTCTGCTTCTTTGGCCATGAAGAAAGTAGATGATTATATTTCTACTCATTTCATATTATCCATATAACAGCTTAAGAACTAACTGACATTAGCAAGAAACATTTCAGTAGGTCATTAGAGGGATTTTGCAGTTCATTAATCCAGCATAGAAAGAATAATTCTTTTTCTACAGAAAAAAAAAAAAAAAAAAAGAAAAGAAACCCAAATCTTGCAGAAAAGCCAAAAGTGAACTTTGTGAGTATTAAATACAAGCATACATTAAAAAAAATCTGGAAACTTCTGCTTTCTCATATTCAAAACCAAAGCTGCAATTACATGGGCACTTTAACCAGTCCTCCTAAGGCTGTGCTTTCAAGCAGAAAGAACATTCTAGTTGCCTTTTCCATCATTGCCACCACCTCCCTTGTTGTGGCACTGGTGTCCTGGCAGGACCTGACCCAGCTCAAAATTGGGGGTGTATTTCTTTTTCTTTTCACACAAGCAGTGGCCAAGTGATCTTACTGTTGAGTTTAATGCTGTTGCTGGCACAAGGCACACAGCAGAAAGCAGTAAAGGCAGAACACCTTTCTAGTTAATAATAATGGGGAGTAAAAGGTGGAACATCCTTTCTGGCAAGAGCAAAGTTCACACAGCAATGAAATGTCCTGGTAACCACTGTAATTTACATAGGAATTGTAGAAAAACTTAGAACTGAAAGATTATATATGACAAAATACGCTGTGCTCCTTTATTTTCATCACTATTTTTCAAAAGATGGTCTGTAACAGCTTTGATTGACTACCACTAATTTGGGGGTGGTTGGGAGGGGTGAGGTGGGGGAACAAAATTTAAAAAAAAAAAAAACAAAAAAACAAACCCTACACTCTGAGATTTAAGTATTATATTTAGCTATAAAATATCAAACTTGGTGATAATGAAACTCAACACACTATTAGTATTATTTTAGTCATGATGAGACACTGCCACTTTGAGGGCAGACTGGAAAGGTTGGGGATTTTGAGAGGTTTTTGTTTGGGGTTTTTTGGTGGGAATTTTTGGCAGTGGACAATTGGTGGGTTGTAACAGTCCTGAAAATGTAATATGCAATGTTGCTAAAATGTCAAAATGGACCACAATCCATCAGCCTATCTGTGAAACAAACAACTGCTCTAAGGATGAGGAAAACAGAACAATCCAGGAAGTGTTATATAAATGTATAACACAAGCAAAAGGATCCACTGAAGGCTTTTAGTACAGTAACACTGTAACAAAGATCCTGAACTACAATGTTGAATTCAGAATCCTCCTTAAGAAAGCATCACCCCAATGGTATTTTAAATATTTCAAATGTGTCATTAAAATATGATAATGCACAATCAACAGTTAGTTGCTATTATGTCTCTAACTGAATAAATTAAAGCTGTTGCTACTCAGACAAGTTATTGCAGTGCTGGTTCTGCACTTACTCTGGGGTGCCTGCTCTGCAATAATTGCCTGTGTGCATACTCAGGGGTTTAATGCGTACTCATTTATTAACATTTAAACTGTGAAGCTATTATAAATTGTCTCCATTTTGTCAATTTTACCAGCCTATTTAAACTGTAACCTTAACTTGCCTAATAACTTAATCTTCTTTTCCTTATTCCATCCAGAATCTTCCGCATGAGTGGAGACCTGAAATCCCACCTTCTCACAGTCCCCTCTCCCACACACACAAAAGCAGAGCACAAAAGCAAGATTCTGTTAAAGGCCATGGTTTGCAAAAAAAAGAAGAAAAAAGATTCTTGAAATAGAAGATGTTAAAATACTTTTCTATTTCCATTTGCCTCATTTTTCTGAGAGTTATGGAATTGACAACACTATAGAGACACAACAAAGCAGAAACTCCAAATTTCATTATCACATACAGGAAAAAAAAAATCAATGCTTAATTTAGGATCACAAAAGAAAACACACCTCATACTCAGTATTCCTTGCTAATTTAGTTCAATTACAGATACCAGTGGAGATGTGGAGGAAAGCTCAACACAAACCACTGGTCTGGCTAAGAGACCAGAGTTCCCAGGAGGCTGGTAAAGCCTGTGCTTACCCAAGCAGCACTTAAGCAGGTTGTACTTATGTTGTTTCTTCTTGAAGTGATGAGTATTAAGGAGTCATATTATCTATAATTTCTCAAAACAAACACGAGAACTATACAATTTATCAACAACACTTCTTTAGCCTCTCCATCCACAATAAATACAAAAGAGTAAAACATGATTGGTGTAATTAAATAAGTAAAAAGTTACCAAGAAAAAGTCAGAAACTTTAATTTCGTGATCTTTTGATGCAAGAAACTGAATAGAACTAAAAGGGCACTGTCCTATTTAATTCAGGTATAACATTTAAAACTCTCAAAAAATTGCAATTTATGACTTTTACTTATGCTTCTGGAAAGATTTCAGCAGCATGTCAGACCAGCCAGCTGAATCCAAACAAAGTAAATCCAGTATCATACACTGAGGCAGGTTCCCTTCAAAGCTGCCAGAGCACCCACAGTTCATAAGCTTTTGTCTGTTATGCTTGCCTCCAAGATGAGTGTATGATCATAACCTAATTTTTCCAGCAGACTTATGTCTCATACATTGTGTGGGTTAGAAAAAGGAATAAATTTAAAATAAAAAAAAAAAAGTCAGGGTTGTAGTAGTAACCATAAATTTGGTGTTTTCTGACTTTTGGACTTCACAACTTTGATCTTTCTCCCCCCTCTTCTATTTTTCTTTTTTTTTAATAAAACAGTAGGAGGACAGTCAAGTATTCTTACTTCATGAAAGTGTTTGATGTTAGACTTTATGTCCTACTTCGGAATTGCCTTGTGCTTGACATGACATTTATGTTCTCTAAAGTACCATTAACAAAAAGTGATACACTACTGCTATTAAGGATCAGCCTTCAACACTAACATATCTAAAAATGAAGTGATAATCAGAGTTCTGTAAAGACTGATATAAGAAAACCAGTGAAGACTTTCGTATTATGTAACCTTAGGGGATATTTTTGCAACAACTTCTTGAAAAAAGGATTCCCATGTGCAAACCAGTAATTCCAAACTATGTCTTTCTTTATAAGGTCACCTTCAGAGCATGAAATACATTATGTTTTAAGAAACACCTGTCAATTTTCCAGCAACCTCCAGAAAAGTCATAAGTTTCACAACTTATGTTGTTTAGCCCAAAAGTGGATATGTATGTTTTGCAATCACCTGTTATGAAGAATGAGCTGTAAGTGAAATCATCTCTCAGAGAACACAAGGTCATGCAGAACTCCTCTGCAATCCTGCACACAAACTATCAGGGTGGGCTGGGAGCAGTCTCCAGGAATGATTTTTTTTTTATTTTTATTTTCCTGAGTGCAAATTTACACAGATATTTTCAGAGACAAACAAAACTTCCAGCAGATTAGTTACATCCTAAATCAGAAGTCTGACCTTTAAAGACATGAAGAGCTTTATGCTCCCTAAGCTGCCTGCATGATCACTGGCTGTTAAGACTTTATTTAGTGCTCAAGAATCCAGTAAATATTATCCTGTCATGTCACTATTCATAGGGCAAATTTTAATAAGAAACAAATTAGACAATTCAGTGCTGGTTTTCTACTGCATAGAAGGGTCCTGATCAAAAATAAGTCTAATATGAACTGCAGCTTTGCTCTCACCAGTGAAATACAAACACTCTCTTTCCACAGCTGTGCTTTCAAAGAAGTCACGAGAATTTAGTACCTGTCAGTGACCAGTGGCAACCAGGTGACAGAACAGGTCAGAAGCTGTTTAGAGGACTCAGAAAGTACAAACACATACACCCTATTGACTTACACAACCAGGATAAAAATATAATAAGTAGGTTTGATTATTCAGTAAAGTCTTTGGTGATCGTGAAAAAACAGGGGGATTTCTCAAGAATACATGAAAAAATATGGAATGACGTACAAAGCTACAACCTTTGCTAACCTTTGTGGTCAATACCAATTTTAAAAATTGAAGAAAATGAGAGCAGAAAAACTAAATTACCAATTATTTACTAAAAATAGCACCATAATAAAAGAACCCTGCAAAGAAGGACACAAGCAGCATCCTTCTAAAATGATAGTTTTGGAACTTCTTTTTTTTCCACTGCAAAAACAGAACAAGGAGACTTTTGCTGGTAGGACAGATTGTTTTCCACCAAAACAGTGCTGAAAATATAATCTTTCAATGGCAACACTTTGGAACAGACAGAGACTTTTGTGAACCAAATATGATAAATATAATTTTTTTAAAAACTGGAAATGTACATAATAGACACATATATATAAAACTTCTGAAAAACTTAATTCTTCATAAAATTGGTTCTAAGACATAATGATCTGTAAAGTAGGGTAAGCTTTCAAAAGATGTCTAAAATACACAGCAAAAGTAACTCTATGGATTTTGATTTCTCTTAAGTGGTATTAGTATTTTTTGAGTTGTATCTGTTGCTGAGTTAACCTATACCTTACAAATGCACGAGACATGAATTCAGGAAAATAATTCAAAATAGTGGAAATTTTAAATTAACAGCTTCTCACAATATAATTTTCTAGTCTGCATATCAAAAGAAGCAAGAAAAGGTTAGTACTATGCTAGTAAGTCGGAAAGGAAGTAGGAAAAGAATAAAATTTAAAAAAATTAATTTCAGGTTTTGTCTCCAGAAGTAAGAAGCACAAAAATCCAGTCACTGGAGACCTCACAGCTTTTCTCACTGCACTACTGCATTCCATTTTTCTTGCCTGATGTGTTAGAATCAGTTGCTATGCAACCAAGCTATAAGCCTCACCATTTAATAATTCTTCTGCTAATTGCAATAGAGAAAAAGAGCTTCAGTGTCTGACTTTGTCATAGCACTGAATTCTTCCTGTACAAAGAATCTATGACCAATAACAACGAACTTGAAAAAAGCATTTTTATTGAGTGTATCTGGGATCAGTTATTATACAGGTATTGAATAATACTATAAATGCATATTCATCTGAATTTTGATTATAATTATGATTATTTACTAAGCGTCCTACTAGCTTTGTGGATGGTTTTGAAATGCTTCCCTTCCCCAGTTCCTTCCCCCAAAGCCTTCTCTGAAATGGGAAACTAATGATAGCGTGCATGCTTCTGTTGATCCCGTGTTTCCATTTCATTTACAAATTGCCAAGTACCAAGAACTGAAAATCTGAAGATTTTCTTTCTATTTTATAGCTATCTTACCTACACCTCGGAACTAACCGAACAACTGAAGGAGACCAATTGCGGCCCCTGCTGGTACTTGACACCTACAAAACAACAGAATCAAGAGAGGGCAGCAACGCCAGAAACATTCCCATTGAAACGCTGTAACCCAAAATATAAAATAAAAATGTAAGAACAAAAGGATATCGTAGTAATAACATCGGCAGAGAACATCTAATGACCAGGTATTGCAGTAACTAGCAAAGGAACTCCTTCTACACCTTCAATTATGTCTCAGACTGGTTCCCCACTTCATGAAGGACTTTGCAAGAAAGGATTTTTCAGCTTTGTAAAGCTCAGCCAGCAGACCAATGTCAGAGCCTGGAACCTTGCCCAGTGAAAATGCATGGTCTACCTCCTTTAACACAGGTTGACACAGGACAGCATTTGAACATGACTTCAAAAAATGAGATTAGAATATCTTAAGGGTTCACCAGTTTTGTTGGTTTCATGATTCAGTTTCAGTAAAGAATTTTGGCTACATCACTCCTAACTTCCCAAATGTCATAATTTAAAACTTGTACACATTTAAATTTAAAAGAAGAAACAAACACGCACCCAAGAGCTTTAGGAACAAAGCCAGTTCAGTTACAGAACATTCTGTACTGTGAGGAACATCAACACATACTGGCTCACGTGTTTGGACAGTCAGTTTAGGAACTAAGTCTTTGTTCTACAAGAAAATAGATTAAAGATGGGGTAAACAATCTGCCTGTGCTTCTATTAATCTATTTCTACAGCAAAGGCTACTTTATCCTGTCTAGTTCTACTCTGAATACAACTGAAAATATGACTGTTCTCCACCTTCATCTTAACTAAAGCTTTTGCATATGAAAGCCCATATTTATGTTTGGAACAGATTTTCATATCAAAATCACAGACTGAGTGTACATAGAAAGAATTCTGTGCTTGTTTGGTTTTTTCTGACTAAGTATAAATGAAAGTAGGAAAAATAATTTTAAGAGCTTGCAGACATTTAAAGATGTTAATCAAATTAAATCATTGTTTTTCATTTAACTAGAGGCCACATCTACTATAAGGATATAGCAGTTGCAATGAACCCTAACCTGGGATCTGCCAACACAAACATCATTTTAGAGCAGTTCTTTCTAATGTGGCCTGCACATCAGAAATGAAGTGCTCTATTCCTCTCTAAACAGATCATACTGAAATAAAAATAGAAAGAATTATAGGTCTTTGAAAGTTATTTTCATCAATCTAGATACATCAAGGAAGTACTTACTAATTGTCATGGATTCTGGTACGGTGGCTGAAGGCAACATACTGCTTAAAGTATTCACTTGTGCTGGAGGATTGACTTCCACTCTAGTCATAAAAGTACAGGATAATCAATAAATGGAAACAAAGTCCTAAATTCAAATCTTAAGAAAAAAAACATTCCAGAAACTAGAACTGTCATCCTATTCACCCATGTTTAATAACTTAGGTTTAACTATCCTTTAATGCATCTCCTGGGAGCCTGATTTAAGAATACACAGAAAAAACCTCCAAATTAGCAGGTCATGGAGAATAAAATAAAAAAAAAAAAATTACATAAAAACCCAAAATAAAACTTATTTTCAAAACCAAGTCTGTCTGTTATTTGACACAACAACGTGAATTCTTCCAGATAATTAGGAGAAGGTCAGTATATGAAATAAGGCAAAAAGGGAAGTGTAAGTTTTTTGCATTTGTCTTTCCAAACATTTGCACAAGTACCCAGATGGGTAGTTGGTTTTCCAGTGCTGATTGCATTAGGTAACAATAATAAGTTGCCAGCTACAGGGTGAAGTTTTTTTTTTAAGAAAAACATATTTGACACATACCTGTAAGGGAGATCAGATCTTCTGGGAACCAGTTCTACCGGGTGAACAACATGTTCATGCCCCTCTCCATTCTCCAAGTTATCTGAAGTAGAATGTACAAGCATTAGCTTTCTTCAGTTTATAGCACTTTAAAAAAATAAAACATAAATTCAGAAGGAAGGTAGTTACATTTTTAAATAGAAATATTCATCTTTACTAAAGACTGAAACACTTTAAATTCTTTCTCCAAAGTTGGCTTCTGCATATTCACCCCGAATGCCAGCAGGATTGTAAAGTCCCTTAGGAGCACAGCCATCGTCAAAAAAATCAGTATTGCACAATTCCTACATTTTATATGTACATTTTACACTAGCATTGTTGCAAAGCTATGAAGAGACTTCTTACTGATGTTATTTTTGCAAGCCCCAGGACTTTAACCTCCACATTCATCTGCTAATCATTACAAATCTGTTTATGTCCTGCAGAAGAATTTGTGGTTAGTCCCCAGCACGTGAAACCTTGCAAAGACACCAGTCCTTTATGTATTCCCAACAGAGCCCAATGGCTTTTCTCTGGCTCCTTATGTCTATGTAGTAAACACCAGGAATCAGACAGATGAGACATTGTCTAAAAAGCATGAATAATACGCATCTGTCCACAGATCCACAACTGTCGGGATCAAAATACACACATCACTGGGCCTGTCATTAAGGAAGTTCATGTGGAAAGAAACAAAAATCATATTTTATTGATGTTTTCTGCATCTCACTACATAAGGGTTACAAAGTTACTATCAGACAGTCCTAAAATCATGAACTAAAATAGCACAGATTTAAAAAGCAGGAATTCTAGGAAAAAAGTTAATAGGAATTAGTTATGTCAGAAAGACTATGGAGGAGAAAATCAACTTTTGAAGTTGTAGAGTTTACTGAAGCTCAGTTCCTAAATTGCATACTCCATTTTTGTTCCAAGCAACTGATTTTTGACTGAGGCTTTCTCATTCCTAGTTACATGGAGATGTAATATGCCCTGACACATCCCTGAAGCACTGCAACAGACTAAAACTGAAAACACAGATATTAACATACAACAGTATAGATTAAGCTGTAATCTATTTCAAATATATGTGTCTTGTTATTTATCTGTATTAAGACCTATAAACCAAAGCATTGGGTTAAACTATGTATTTTACAAGAGCTGTTTAAGATTATTATTATGACATCATTTGCTAAAACAATGAGCTTGCCAGTTACTGGGCTGAACTGCCCTCAGAACAAGCTAATGCTCATTTCTTCTCATATCATTCATCTGTAGCACAAGTGTAACTTCCAAAGTCAAGCAAACAACTCCCTAAGGCAGCTTTCAATCTCATCAAACTGCCAGCAGGGCTGAGGAGAGGGTGACTGTATCCCTGTGTATCCCTGTCCCTCCCTGGGTGGCATTTGGGATGCAGGATGGGCCGTTTGGTGCAGCCCTGCCTGCCCAGCCTGGCAGCTCCACATGGGCACAGGGGCTCCGGGGCAGCACAGAGAGCTGAAATCAGGATGTCAGACAGCAGGGCCTGGGCTGCTGTTTCCTACAAGTGATGAAGATCCCTTTCATCACCCCAGGGTTGGATCACTCCCCTTTGCAGGATGGACCACAGGGGTTATCACAGAGACAGAAGGAGAACTGAAAATGTCTGTGTACTGTGCCAGAAGGGATCTGAACGGGCCTGTTGATCATCTCTAGTGGTCTGAGCATTGTATCCAAAACAGTTCTGAGATGAAGTAAGATCTAACAAGGATCTCTGGTATCTTCTCAATAAAAGTAAGCCCCTGTTACAGCTGTTGTCTTCTTTGGTCATCTGTCTCCATCTTGACTGAGACTCCTGCCTTTTGATTTCAGCTACAAACTCCAGCTCACAGTCCTGATGCCTCGTGACATCTACAACTCCCACAACAACTGTGAGTTCCCATTCCACACACCACCACCCCCCATAAACAGGGACAATTGTATCCCAGATTTCAACCTGTGGATGTTCTCTAGCAGTTTCTGTATAAAACTTAAACGAACATGATGCCACAAACTATGTGATGTTTTCTAAATCCATTCCTTCATAAACTGAAAAATGTGTCAGCACAAATAAAAAATGAAAATGTACTTTCTATTTTTATTTTGAACCACTGCCATTTCTTATAAGGTACATGTTTTAAAATACAGTAGAGGGCAGTACAGCCTTATTTTATGATTCCCATTTTAAATCACTGAATTTACAGAACTGAATTACACTTTTTCACAAGCCTTCAATTAACAATCCGTGTAAACTCTTGGCGCACAAAATGTACATCCAAAAAATTTAAATATTTTACAATGAAAACGTTTTATTTAAAGCCACTGATTAGTTTTTAAATGGTCACTGAAAAAATGAGTATACCTGAAGTTTTAATAAAATACCATGCAAGACCACAGTTTAATCCCAATAAAACTCTGGGTTATTTTGACATTGACAAATCCTCCTCAACTAAATAACTACTCAAATCAAGAACTGATTCAGAATGAGAATGAATGTTAATTCCTTTCTATCCCAGGTGTGCAGTATGTTCTATGTCCTTACAATCCCGTTATTTCTTGCCATTGTCCCGTGTTAGAAATTCCATTATAAAGGTTGCTGGAATCTTGTGAATTAAATACCCACCTGTTTGGGAGTAAGAGCCAACAGCACTGACAGGGAACAGCACATCTGAGTCATCATTGAGGACCTGCAGAGGAGTCCAACTGCATATCTGAGAGTTGCAAGTGCCTATTTCATGAGTCCTAGATTTAAAACAAACAAGCAAACAAAACAATCTCTTTATACAGTCAGTATCCATGTTCATAATGCATATATTTCTTCCAGAGATACTACTTAAAAAAAAAATCTCTACTTCAATCTGCCTGCCAGTTTCTTGGCTGGCCATACATGAATCTATTAAAGATCAGACATTCCAAAGCAGATGAGACAAACAGTGTTTGCCTTTTTCTCCAAACAATTTTCTTTGTCAGAAAAAAAGAAACCATATTAGTATTTAAAATTATTCGTTCTCTCTTGGTTTTATCTTGGTTAACTATCTCCTCTTGTTTAACTATCTACTCTGATGTAACAGGCTTACTCCATTTAAAATACATGTTTTTACTGTGAAGCCAAAATAGAATTGATATCATATGAGAATAAGGAAACATCAAGTAGGTCAGAATTATAGCCAGGCTATATCATGCAAATATTTAAACAACTGAGAACTTCAAGGAGAATGAGAAAACTAATTCTCAAAATTTTGGTTTTCAGTGGAACTTAGAAGCAAAATACCACCACCACAGTGGCCCAAATGGTTTAAACAATGATCAAGAAAAAACAAGGAAAAACAAAAAAAGGGAAAAAAGGTTGAGGAGTAGGAATGGGGGGGGGGAAAGCAGAGAAAACCTATAGTTCAGTTCAACACATCAATTTGCCAGTGCCCATGAAGAAAAGGGAAGGGTGGATGGGAAGCATGGAAAGTTTCCCACCAGCTCCTGCACCGTTACTCACTTTTCAGAAGCTTCCGTTTCACCTTCTGTGCCTTTATTTCCTAATGTTTTTCCATACAGCTCATCCTCATCTGCATCTTCATCATCAATGCTCTTCACATCCAGTTTCTGGTACTCGTACTCTCCATTCATGAGGGAATGAGGCAATGAATTGCTCTTCCACGAACTGTTACTTTCATTCCCGTTCAAATTTTTTCCAAGAGTGCTTTCAGATGAGGACAATGCAAGGACTGAGGATCTGTCTACGCTCTCCTCTGAGCTTTCTCCTGTAATCAGAGTCTTTGCAGAATCCCCCAAATTCTGCTCATCTTCCTCTTCATCAAATGAGATAATATTGGTCACTCTCTTCTTCTTTTTTCGATCTTTTTTATATCTCAAATCTAGTAACAATACGAAGTTTCACATAGTTTAGAAGAGAGAAACAATATAGTAAATCTGTTTTTTTCCTTAAAAGAGCTCATGTACTAAATGACTTTAGCAAAGAAAAAGCCACTTAGATCTACAAGGCATTCATTATCTTTCCATACACACGAGCTTTTAAATCTTTAATTACCCTATTTATTTTATCTGCCTTACATAATTCAGATTTCAGAAAACATTTTCGAGGTGCATTCATAACATTATTCAATTGGAACTGGAAAAAAAAGTTGAACAAACTCACAGAATGAAATTTAAAATAAAAAGTTAGCCTTCCTGTCTCTTTCTCCCATGGAATACACCTAATGTATATTCTAGTGTACATTGCAGAGCATGTCTACCCAACAGAGAAAACACGAGACACTTCCAGAGAGAAAAAAAATAAAAAGAACAAACTCACAACATGAACAAAATCCACAACTTGCAATCAAATAAAGGTAGTTTCGTCTATACTTTAAAAATTGAGCAGTCAGCTCCCAGAAAAAGAAACTAAACTTGCTTCCTCCCTCGGGTAATTAGCTCTTGGTCTAGAAATACACTGAAATCCTTGGATTACATCAGATCTATTCAGTGACAGCACCTGTTTTTAAATTATTACCTATTCTCACTAAATCCTATGTGCACATGAAGCTGAAGTTGAAGCACGCTAAGAAATATCAGAAATCTACTCCCCAGACAACTCACATTGGGACTAAACTGTTTTGTTTAATTCAAATCCAGCTGTTCTATATCCACAAAACATACTTTTAAGAGGATGTTAAAACCCATTCTGCTTGCAAACAGAATTCCAACAAAGAACACAGACTTTAATGAAAACATCTGACTTGCTCTAACATTCCACATTATAATGGCATTTGAAGAACTCATTTTTTTAAAGTGACATTTTACTGTAAGTTGTACATTTTATGTACTCTGCACATAATGTACATTATGTGGTAGAGTCATATGCAGCATATGGTCAATTATTCTCTTATTTCATCTTGCAAGCCTATTCTATTCTAACAAAGTTATCCCAAGTCAAGTATCACCTACAATTTTAATCTCATTTAAGTGTTAAACAACAAAAGTTTTACCACAAGTTTGCTTCAAAAACCATGTTTTGAGACAAAGTCTATTTTAAATGCCAATAAACACCAGATTTTATCTCAACTTCCCTTCCTACCAGACAGCTTTCACATGTGGGGTTTTTGCCTTTTTCTCATAACCAAAACAATTTAATGCCTAAATTCAAACCTTGTTTCTTAATTGAAAAGCACATAAATCTTCCTGCAGTTTTGTACATTTACACAACAAAACAATCTTTCAGCTCAATTTCCAGAAACAAAGGTAATAAAATATTCCTTTGCAATTTTGGGGACTGAAAATATATATTTTGCTTGATTATTTTCAACTTATAAGAGATTAAGACTTTGGGTCTTTGTTAGTAACTGACATCCTACAAGCTGGTTGTAATACTAAGACATTTAAAGGTTAAAAAGGTATACGAGCAAATTTCATTTTGGTTCAGGAATTTCATTTTGCATAGGAACTCAGACTGTAAACAGGGGCCCTACTTGAAGAAGATTACAAGCTTAGATTTGTATCTGATATATAATAATAGATATATAGCAGTGTATTTCTGACTGATAAAAGTGCTAAAAGAAAATAAATTAAAAATGAAAAATCATTACATCACGAACTGCAAGGTTTAATCTTATAAGAAATTGAAATTTAGGTCACAAGTAAAGCCCTACCAATAAGACACTTCAGCCTCCCTCTCACAGTGATGCAAGAAAGCTGAAATACCATCCAGTATTCACACCAGCACTTCTAAAAAATCCCATACTTTTTATTACACACTCAACTAGCTTGTATGTGCAGCACACACTTATTTTTAAGATTTGTCCTATAATTACTTAAACGCACTCCAATATTTGATAAGCTTCTGAATGACACCAAACACTGCCTAAAAGCTTACCAGCATTTACACTCCGGGGCAGAACAGGAAGGGGGTCAGTGTCTGGGTCAGGTTTGATGAGGATGGAGACAGCAGAGGAAGCAGTGATCTCCCGCAGGAGGCTGCTCACACCCTGCGTGGATTCCTTCAACAACGAAGTTACATTTTGTGTGGATTCCTTTAACAAATCAGACACGGTGGGTGTGCACTTGCTCTGCCCATTTAAATCCTTATTATCAATGTTGATGGCAAAAAGGATGGAGTTCAGACCTTCAAATAAAGGAAAGGGAGAAAAAGAGACCACAAATGCACTTTATAGTTCACACTTTATACTTCACACGAAAGCTAAAAACATAGAACCTAAGGATTAACAAAGCTATGACATGTAAAATATTTTTCCCAAAAAATTTCCCACAGTTCTCCATGCATGAATTCTTATTCTTTCGTGTACCATTCATTCTTTTTTAGATTATGTTCAAGCTGATGCAATCAGTTCTGAATTCATCTTGATGGTTGTTCAGCTGCACATCAAATAAGCAATAAGTACTGTGAACTCATTTATTTATAATCTTTTATTTAAACCCATTTCACTGCAACTTCAGTATTTGTTGGTTCCTATATTCTATTACCAAAAAGTTTTGTGTACTTTGTTTTGTAGAACAAAGCACATGACCATGTATCTGAGAAAAAGGGTAAAAGAGGTAGTAAAACATCACTTCTGTGGTCAAACACTAGAAAATTAAAGTATTTGTTATCACTCCTTACTGCTACTCTCCTTACCTGTATTTGCCTATAATCTGGATCTTACTACAAAATTCTATCATTACCCTTTTCTAGTCAGGAATAGCCCATTTTGTTTTCTCCAAATTGCACTAGTTTGGAGAAACAGCCTTGACTGTTGAAGAGTGAAAACATTTATGTGAAAGACTTTTGAACTGTAGGAAGGCCAGATCCAGATTTTAACAATCCATCAATTCACAGCATAAACTGGCACAATACCTTGACAATTCACCCTGACTGTGCCTCTGACACACATTCTCCACATAAGCAGTGCGTTAGAGAAGCTCCTCACAGTCAGAAATAGATATAACATCCCAAAAGGCAATAATTTTCCAAGAACAGTAAGATTTAACAGAAAGTTTTACCAGCTGCCATTGTAGGGATCATACTGGAGCGTTCTTCATCCATCATAAAAGACCAGTCTTCATAGAAGACACTATAATTTGAAAGGGAAAAAAAAAGAATATGTAGTCCTATACTAACGTATATTCCACTTCTGAAAAACAAGAAAACTCCAAAAAATAAGTAAGATTACACCAATGGATTCTGGAATATGCCTTTTTAGAAACAGCATTACAGTGCAGACTGTGCTGATAATCCTGATACTGAGTAAGTATTGCTAAAAGCACGAGAGTAATTAGTGACATAGCAATTCAAGTCACTAATTTCCTCACAATGGTTTTCAGATTCTCCTTATTGTTTCATTTGTCTTCATTTAATTTTATACTGGAAGAAAGCTAGAGAAGACTGGAACAAAATAAAAATTAAAAGGTGGAATTAGCAAACTCAGTTCTGGCAATAACCTTATCCATTAATCAATGCAAATGGAAAGAATGGCTTTCTGCTGGATCCACTGGACTTGATCAAGCTCAACAGTTACTGGTAAAACAAGAACATCTCAAATTTTCAAAAAGAACAGGAGATGAAGATGTAGGAGGAGTAAGGTAGGACTCAGCTTGTGAACTTAAGGGGATTTTGCACCTCCAAAGTACTTCAGGATTTCACAATGGAAGTTTTCCTCAGTAACTGTAACAAAAGGTTCACAAGCTGTTACCAAACCACTGCCAGGGGCTCTGCGGTAGCAGCTCCCCACTATTTCACTGCTGCAGCTTTGCAATTACAGGATGAGCATCTCCAAAAGGCAACAGGCAATTGCCACTGATGAGTTGGTCAGCTCAAGGCTGAAATTGGGTACTATTTTAAAGGAATGAGAGGGGCACCTCAAAGCATGGTGCCAATGTGCCAGTGAGGAAAACTGCTGAAAGAACAGGGAAGAGAGTTAGGAAATAGGATGGAAATGAAGGTGAGGATACAAGCATAGATCCTCAGGGGGTAGAATGAAGCCAGTTTCAGGTCACATGTTGGCATAGGCACAAGCCACTCTCTTAATGGCTGCCAAAAATTTAAAAAATGAACAAAAGAGTCAGGTGAAGCAGCTCGACCAGCACAGCAATGAATAGGGCGTATTATTACAGCCGTGGCTTCTGGTTGGTTGTCTGGGGTTTTTTTATTCTCAGTACTTCATTTTTCAACACATTTCCTGCCTTACAAAGATATCAGATGCAGTACCTGAGTCGATTCTTGTCTGCCAGCAGCATATGAACGTATCTTTCCAGGGAATGTTCATTCAGTGCACAGCGCAGCCAGGCCCGGCCTCTGCCAATATCCGAGGTGATGGCCCTCAGAGAGTAAAAGCGCTGCAGCTCGTGTCTGTTCAGAACCTCCTTCACATAGTACCAGAACACTGGCTCTGCAATTGAATAATAAGTTATTATTAATCATAACCCAACCAAGAAAACTGCTAAGCTCACACCTGAATGCATTTACATGCAAATTTATAAAACCAACAGGTAACTTTGCTACCTATACTTTGGACAAAGGTGAATCATTTACCATCTTGGTGCAACCCTCCTGTTAAATAGGTTATTTATTTCTACTGGACTTGGGCTATTTAAGCACTTAGAACTTTCAGCTTCATTGAAAAAGCCAAACACACAAATTAAAGGATTCAATCTCACGCTTTTACATAAAAAACACATTTAAGCGATTCTTTCATCCATAGGACAGGTTCAGGTGTTCAGCTGAGAATATATTATGCAAAGAAAAAAAAAATTCTTTGGAACTCCATCTTAAGGCTGATTGTGAAACATTAGGAGCTACATCCAAAGGAACGGGTAGCTACAGAATTCACCGACATGCAAATCACAAAGTCAAGTTACTTTAAAAAACAAAAGTGTTGCATTTAAAAGGCAACAATAGCTCTTTCCACTAAAACACTTTCCTTGCCCTGTCACTGAATACTGATAAAAAGTTTTTTTGCAGTTGCCTCAAATTTCTCAGTTGGAGGTAACAAAAAATCTACATCAGTAATTGTAAATGTACAACAAAACACCTGGGATTTTGCATATTCCCATTTCTAACAGAGTAAGAACATATTTTAGGGACATATTTATCACAATTTACCTCTTACCATTTTCTCAGGGTGAAAACAACAAAAAAACCCAGATAATTCATTTGTAAAACTTAAAATTATTACAATACGGTATAGTTTGGCACTCATTAAGTACAGCTTGTCATGAAGGATCTGTAAATTTCAAACAAAAACCACTGCTGAACAATTTTATTGTTCAATTGTCAAAGCCTGAATTTATAGCCTAAACAGCAGTATCCCACTGTGCTAAAAAAAAAAAGATGACACCTGTGATTATGCTAGACAGAGTGGGATATAAATCATACCAGACTCATGTGCCTGAAAGTGATATAAATATAGAAATACTTTGCAACTGCTTTCAGGAAAAAAGAAAAAAAAAACAAAAAGCAAAACCATACCAACCCAATACCGTAATTTATAAAGATAAATGCAAGGGAGCCTTCAATTCCATTAAAGCAAAAAAAAAGTCACTGTACAGCCAGCATTCTATTTGCTGCAAAGCAGCCACGTTTTTGTTCTTGACCTTCCACACATTGCTTAAGCTTCCTCAGGGCTAAAAATGATGTTTTCTTCCTCCTTCCATTCCCCAACTATAGATAACCTTCCCAACTTCCTCCTCTTCCTCCACATCACCTCACTGCCAAGCCCCCAGGTAAGACACACACACATGAACATGTAGCTAAATCGTTACTAAACTCCCAAGAATCAGAGATGTATCTTTGTACTTCTGACCATGAACACACAGGATGAAAAATTTCATACACCCTCGACCTTAGCAACAGACAGGAAAGAAATTATAAGAATTGTCTTCATATTAAAAGACACACTGTTTGCCTGAGCAGAGAGAGTGGAACAGGGAAGCACATTCCCTGCACCAAAGAGTAAGGTTCACAATTGCAAATAACCAAACCACTGCCTACTGAAGAGATGGAAACCACTCAGAGTCTCAAAGAGACCATAGAATATCCAATGCCCAATCACAAACACACACAAGGGAAAAAAAAGCCCACTGAAGACCTGAAAAATCTGTAAAGACAGTGTAAACAGCTGAATTTGTCTCACTTGTTCATTTAGCACCAGCAAAGCATCAGGTTCTTGCCCATTACTAAGTAAAAGAGGCAAACATGGAGAACTCACCAATTTCTTTAAGAGTATGGCTACTTTAGCTCCCAAAAAAAGCCCAGCCTGGAGGCTCTAACCCATTAGCAGGAAGGTGAGCACACAAGGCTCAACATTTCACCCTGACTGCCACAGGGAACAAGCCCATTGCTGAAGCAATTTAAAAACACCCTTAAATCAAACTACACATTTTGTGTTTATGTAATATCCATTATATGCAGTTGTCTGGTGTCACTGGAAGTTATAACTGCAGATCAAAGTGTATTAACAATTTCAGCACCACTGAATATATTTTAAAAAACCCCACCAAAACCCAAAACTCCAGTATGTGGGTTTACAAGTGTAACATGTTACACTTGACAGAGTTTCAAAAGTTAAAAAGGAGCCCTTTCCGTTATGTGTACCCTGATTAAGAAAAAAAATACTGAAAGTCAAATTTCACAACAAAACTGATTAACATCTTCACATAGTTTTGATTAAAAAACCAAGAGAAACATCAAGGCGAAGAGAAAAATAAAGGAATATTTTCTTTAAATGTGGAGAAAGCAATAAAAAACAACTCAAACAACACAGTCCTAAATCTGCACAGTCTGAATGCAATGTGCATTTTGTCTTTATTTTAGTTATAAGTAATATAAGTTTCCTTTCTAAAATTACATCAATACTTAGAAGTTAAACACATCTGATGCAATAGAATATGTCAGTTAAAGAGTGGAGTAAGACAGGGTTAAGAATGAAAATGCTGTAAAAACTTAACAGCACAATTACACAACATTTATCCCTACCAGAATTCAAAATAAACTTCCCACTACACATCATTTAACTGTTAAGAAGTTGCCTCACACCAAACATTTCTAGAGAAACTTGGTATGAAAGTTAAACTAGATAAGAAAGCAATAATCATTTGCACTGCTACAACACACTGCCAAGTATGAAGTATCCTACCTACAGTCTGCAGTTTAAGCAATGCTTAAAACTTCTGTTAGAAATTATACCACTTGATTGAACATATCAACTACTTAAAATAGTTACAATTAACAACTTACCTGTTTCAGTTTTACTGGAGAAACCTGCTGCCTGTTTGATTGCTGCTGCTGTTAATGCCAGTCCTCGGCTCCTCCTCAGGCCGTGCTGCAACACAGCTTCAAACTGAGCACACAAACAAGTCACTCTGCAACAGAATTTTAAAGAAATCACAGGAAAAAAACCCAATCAACCATGTTTCTATACAGCAAGTTTATTCCAGATCTCTGAAGAGGGAATGTAAAATGAAGCATTATCTTAAAAGCGGTGAAAGACCCCTTCTATGCACTAATCTCATTATTTGCAGGCAGGATAATCTACTTATACCCACAGTCTCACCATGATGATGGAAAGCTGGGGCACAGAATGCATTCAGAACTGGCAATCAATTTGAGAAATCATCCTCACCTGCTGGAGTGCTTGTTAGCCATGTTATTTCAGCTTCAGAACATCTGCGTTTCATGTAATATAATGTATCAAGTATTCTGTGCCATGTTTTATGTCATTATGATGCACAATCCAAGCATGTTAAAAGTTTCTTAAGACTATTTTACCTGCTATCAGAGTCTGAAGCAATTTCTTTTCTTCCTCCAAATCGTATTTGACACTGCAAGAAACCGAGTTTAAGAAATTTTATGAAATTTTTGTTACACTAGACAAAAATTCAATTTTCTGAATTTCTTCCATATAAGAAACCAAATCATAACAAAAAAAGAAAGCAGCACAAAATAAAGCATTGGCAAATACAGCCTGAAACCAAAAAGTGCTCTACAGCATCATGTTCCACTAATGGGCTACTCCTGCAGATCAAATATATCCTTGCTAGTCAGAGCAACACACCTGCACATCCTTCACTAAATTGAAAATTGAGTGGAAATTACTACTTTGGGGTTTAAAATGTAAAATGTAAAACCCACAAAACCAAACACTGCTCTTATTCAGCCCAGTACTACAGTTACAGAAGAATTGTTCTTTATAAAACATATCATTGGCTTACTCCTGAGGCATTCTTTTCCCTCTTGGCCCTCCTAAACTGAATCCAATGTATGAAATTCTACTGGCTGAACTTCATGTTGATGCAAAATACAGACATAAATAAACAAATCATATCTTTACATGTATTTTAACCATTCACTAAAAAACTACTGCAAAGAAAAAAAGCTTTTACTCTAAAATGTTCACCAAGTTAGCCTTTGCAGTACACTTTAATTTAGTTCAGTCTTATCAGTGTTAAAAATATATATGTTCACAGCACATATTCTATAGTATTATATATACTTCAAGTATATACATTACAAGTATAATCTGTCAGGAACAAGAATTTTAAACAAATACTGCATAATAGTTGTCTGCTAGCAGAAAAAAAAAATCTTTAGTATCATGTAAAAGCCAAGATTTCTTCTCTCTCTCCTTTTCTTCTTATTCCTCCTGCTTGTTAAAGAGGAGGAAAAAGAGCAAAGACAGTTCCTGCCAGTTCTGACAGCTCTGAGCAAGGATACTACACAAATGTGTATTGGATTTCTCACCTGTTTAACTGCATCCAGCAGCCGTTCTAGAAGAAACTGTCTTTTAGTGTCATTGTTCTGTGAACCTGAAATTCAATGAAATTACATTATTTTAAAATAAATAGGCTTTGTAAAATATGTTTGGGCCAACACAAGGGCCCTCAAAACTTTCTTCCCATGCCAATTATTCCATTAAATTAACTAATGTATTTTCTCCAAGTAAAATGATGCAGTATAAACTCTGTTTTGAGGTTTCAAGTAGCCTTTCTATAACATGCTGTTATATATGTATACAATATGCTGGTATAGCAGGAATACTGTTTCAAATATCATCTAGAGTCTTATTTTAGTAAGACTTTGGTTTCATGATATAACATATATTGCAGTAATACCAAATACAGTATAATTGTGCAAGCTGATGTACGGCACAACCAACCACCTCTGGGGCCACAGTGTAAGCCTAGAACTAACCTAGTTTAAGATTTATTTTTTTTTGGTGGCCTGGATTAGGTGTATGATGGAGCTCACACAACCACACAAGTATTCACTCATACTGGGACAACTACCAGCTTAGTAGCACAAGAAAAAGAAGGGGAAACAAGATAGAGACAGCAGGAATATCTTCTTACTGTCAAACAACCTCATTGCAGAAAGAGTTTTAAGTCAGGTGAACTTCGTAACTGTTACAATCAATCCCTTAAAATTTAGCTAGCAGCAGAGTTCTTCCTGATTAACACTTATAAAATCTAGTTTCTTACTATTCAAGCAACTATGCAAGACAATCTTTAACTTCTCAGGCATTTCAACAACAAATAGCCTAATACTTTGCTTGTTGGAATATCCTTTATAAAGTCCCATGAATCTATGTAAAATTTATTCTTTAATTAACCTATATTACCTCTATAATGTTTTTATTCTGAGCTTAAGTTCAAAATATCTATCAGAAACCTCTGTGAACTCTCTAGGATTAGAGTCATTATTATCCTTTCCCTCTCAAAGAACATACAATCAATATATGTATAGACTGAAAGCCAATTATCAAAAGTCTGTATGAGCAAGTTCCTCCAGACACTGAAAATCAAACACCACACAATAAGCCCTTTAGTAAAGAGAGATGACATCAAAGATATGTCTTTTCCTCTTGCTATCTGACATAGTGATGTCCAAATCCCAGAATTTCCTATTTTCATAATACCATTCAAAACAGTTTGCTCCTAAACCAGGACAGGACAGAATTTGTCCTACTGAAATGCCTCTGTCTTTGTTTAAATATATATACTCATATAATATATATTAATATATATTATATTAATATAATATTTGAATATATATCCATGTTAATTTGTCTATAAATGTATTAATAGAACTCATAGTCCATGTATATTCATTAAATAGGGGATAAGGAGAAGAAAATCCCCAACGTACGACAGAAGAAAGAAAACAAGAAAAACATGCAAACGTAGCTGCTCACTAACTAAGCCTCACAAGGCTTATTTAGCTGATTGCAGTGTGTTTTCTAGAAGTTATACTTCCAGTTTTGAACTCTGACTCAATCTGGGCAGGCATGTGATGTGTGAGGTTCGGGTCTGTTAGTCAAGCACTCCGGTGCACACAAACAATGTTCAGAGCCAGCAAAGGACTCCAGAGCAAACTCCACACCAACCAGGTTTTAACTTCCTAACAACTGTGCCAGTTATGCCACTGCAGAGATAAGGTTAAATTCATATAATCCCTACCATTCCACTTTGTGCTCCTTCAGAGATTACAGTTTATTAGATTATATTCAGTGTTTTTAGCAAGCATGCATTGCCAAAAATGGAGATGCATACATGCCTCTGCATTTATATGTCTTATAATAAATCACAGAACTGTAAAATAAGGAAAACTATCCCAACTTTTAGTACAACCCCTCATGTGCAGTGACACTGAATATACACAAACCTATAGATTTTCTGCAAAACTCACTACTTTTACATCTTATGCTACCCATATACCTGCAAGAACAGGCATAACACAACTTTTTTTGAGACTACATCAGAACAAATGCATGTAATTAATAATTTCATGACCTGAAAAACATCTTTCAAATGAAAATATTGGTATGTGGGCTAAGTTTGACTTCCAAATGCAATACATGTTAGTTTTTAGATTCACACCTCTTTGGACTCTTTGTATCTATTTGGTAACACAGAAATGGTTTGCAACTAGATTTCAAACTGTGATCAACATAAAAAATGCATAAATACAGAAAACCTACAGATGTTCACTATACTAATTGATGTTCTAAAACACTAAAGCCTGTGATACCAAACAGCCCTAAATCTACACAGACTGAATGTAATGTGCATTTTGTCTTCATTATAGTCACAAATTTGCACTAATAACAACCATGACTACATGTGATTACATCCAATAATGTCAGAAGCATTTCAAATCACCTCCACCATTAACAAGGCTATAAGGCCACATAATACTATAAAGTCTATACTGAGGGATGGCTGAGGTTTCTCTTCAATGCACATCTGAAGCTCTTCTACTGCTGTGCTTAACAGAAATTCTGCAGACAGAAGAAAAAGAATATTCACAAAGTCTAACTTTTTTTTTAAATTGAAAGATTAAGTTGTGTGTTTTTTCAAGCACAGGATATATTTTTCTTTGTAATAAGCCTAGAAAATGTAGTACTATCAGCAATGTTTTTGTTGCGGGTGGAAGACAAAAATAAATCTGTACTAACTCTAAGATTTTACTCTTTTACATCTTCATTTTCTGAACTAAGCCTTTAGGAAACAAAAAAAGTGTATTTTCAGACAAGAGCAGCAATTAAGTGTGATTAACTCCAGCTGATTTAAAGTCAAAGTGTATTCCAAACTGACCAAAATACCCTTCTCCTGATTCAGAATAGTGGTAAAAACTGCAGTAACACACATACAAATACAAAACAGAGAATGCACAAAAACAGCATTACTCAGAAAAAAGGCTGTATTTAGACTATAGCAACGAAAAAGGAAGTTCCTACATGAGTCTAAAAATAATTGTGAAAACATAAGCATAAGGTTGCAAAAGCTAAGAAACTTAAAGAGACTCCTCCCACCAACATCTACTCAGTCAAAAAGGATTTAAAATAGGCTCAGGTGCTGCACCTGCCTCTATGACCCTCCTCATTTTCTGTTGTTCAAGGTCATGCTTTCCTATTTTTGAAACAAACTTCCCTCCATACCCTGACACAAACATCCACACCCAAAGCAGCAGAGAACTGAAATGTAAGTAAAGGAAAGCAGGATTTTCATCCAATTTTTTATAGCTAAAGCTCTCTTCAGCACCACATGTAGCATATAAGTTAAAAAAACAAACCTCAGCTTGATCTTAAACACTACTTGCATTTAAGTCTTGTATGCAAAATTCCAGACTGCAATCCCTTTTGCTTGCTCTAGTACAGGTTCTGAGGGTACAAGTCTAAGATAAAACAAACACAGACTTAATTTAAATGCCACCTGATACTACACTATTATGATTCTACTGCCTCATCCTCAATTAGGCGCCTTTTTAAGTTTTCTGAAACTGTTGCTAAACAAGTGACAACACCCATAAATCTTGACAAGCACAGAACTCTAGTTTCCTTGTGTTACTTCCCTTTAAAGTTTAGCCTATTCAGCACTTGTACAATAAAATGTGAGTATGCAATTAATAAGTAGCATTAGTAATATTTAAGTAATGCTTAAATATACAGGAAGTTACCTTCACATCCACTAGAAATGCACTGTAGCTAAAAAAATAAACCATAAACTTAATTATAGCCATTCTACCTATTATTTTAGGAACAGCTCTTTTACTTTCAAGGGCTAAAACTGGCCAAGGAAATAAGTGCAGACAGTGCTGTTACAGCTGCTAAAAGGAGATGGTTAAAACTGATGTTAACATTAGCGATCTCCTTTATCTGAAACAAGCACGATAATGATAGATATTTCTTTGTTCTGAACTGTTTCATTCGTATTATTCTGGAAAAATTCTGCACAGTGTTGTATAACAGTAATGTCTGGCAAAGTGCAACATTAGTAGGGGTTTTTGTTATCTTGCTGTCTTATCAAAACTGTTGGGAAAGTCATATAAGTCTTGGCAGGGGCTACACTTGGCTAGGTCACCATGTAACTGAAGTACTAGTGTTAATGTCACCTTAGGCATTATTCCCTTTTAAGTAATTAAATGTTTTCTCCTCATAAACCTGTATCTCTTCATTGTCTTAAAAAAAATAAGAGTAAAGGTATTAAAAATAGCTACATGATGAAGCTTTAGGCCACAAGAGGTGCTACCTTGCCTTTTGAGTCACAGAATCCAAATAGAACTTCCAAAGGTGAGTGAGTCTCCTAGGAAGATTTAGGCTCTGATTTGCACAAATTTGCACAAGGTTAGTCCCAGCCTGAATTCACCATTGAAGAGCTGAGGTTTTCCATATGAAAACAATGACTCTTACAGATTTCATATAGGGTTTAGTCTATATCGTGTCAAGATCTGAAGCATTTGAGAAACTTTCTTTTCCCATGGTTTCAAAGATTTCCCTGTTACTTGCATTTTTCACAAGGCTAATTAACAGGTTTCCCAAAAATAATCTCTTTTTTTGCCTCATCTCTTCCATAAAAAAACCCTGCTGTTTTCTTACCACAAAGTTGAGAACAAAACAGAGAAAAATACAACTGAAGCAGTTTTATTTTTTATTTCATTTTCAGAAATTACTGCAATGTAGCATTTAGTTACTCCAGTTAACTCTTCAGTATTTTCTTACAGGCAAGAAATCTGACCACACATTAACTCAGGGTGGAGGATAAACAAGCAATCTCATTTTCAGGTGCAAACTGTTGACTGCAACTTCCATTACTGAAGTTGTACAAGGAGACCCATCCAAGCATTTACTAAAGCACCGCCCTTCTTAAGAAGCCCCAGACAAACCCCTGCCAATGTGCTTTAATAAATATTCAGTAACTACCACTTATCCTTTACATTTACAAGAGAAACCTATTAAAATTTAATTTTCCCTCACAACGCTTTATGCTGACCCATTCAAGTGGTTCTAGATCCTCCAGTCCTGTAGTTTATGGGTCACAATTCTCAGGCAAAGCTTCTAAGAATTTCCTCTGACAAACACCTCAGACCCCTCGGGATTCAGCACAACCCCCGCACCGCTTCCCCCGAACACGGAGGGCACCGACACATCCTCGCCGGGACTGAGCTGGAGACACAATCAGCACACCCCGAACACCAGAAGGCACCACTTTCTCCACTGGTCATGGTCATGCTTCTCACCTCTCCCACCGACTGCTTGATACCGAGTTCATTCTGTTAATTTTTATTATTTCCGTTTCTCTTGGTCATGTATTTTCTCGGGAATATTTCCCGTGATTTCGCACAGTTGAGGCAACACCGAGCCCAGCATCACTTGTGCTGTGAGCCAGTAAAGCCACGCTCAAGGGCAGCACTTGGGGTTTAAAACGAGGTAAAACAGCACTTCGGGGGTACTTGGGGGAGCCGGGGTGTGGTGATGAGAGACCGAAGCGCTCGGTGCCTCAGCACGGGGAGAACGGGGGCCGTGGCAGGACCACGCCTGGCCGGGGACCCCCGGGCTGTGCCCTCCCCCGGGGGCGGAGGGCCCGGCCCGCCCCACTCACCGCTCATGGTGCCCGCGGGGCTCCGTCCGCCGGGGCCGCCGCTCTCCCGCTCAGCCACGGCCGGGCCGGCAGCGACCGCCCGCCCCGGAACCCGCCCGCGCCCCGGAAGGTAAACACGGCCCGGGGTGTGGGGAGCGCGGCCAGCCCGGGGGCCCTCACGGGCTCCTCACGGCGTCCCCTGGCCCGGAGCCCTTCGCCGACCCTCATCGCGACCCCACAGCCCGCGGCAGCCGCGCCGCCCCCGCCCGCCCGGGCTGAGCCGCTCTGTGGGGCGGGAAGGGACACGGGCACAGGAGGGGGGAGAGAAGCGGGGATAACCTGTCCTGGCTGGCACGGGTGCTGTGCAGGGTGAAACCTCGGAAACGGTCATTTTTCGAAAAAATAAAAATAAAAAAGGTACAAAAACTGTGGGATAAATAAAATGTGGTCCAACACGCAGAATGTAGTTGCAATAATCAAAATAGAAGGTTTTGTGGTATAACTAGAACAGTAGCTCGTCCTTCGGTAGCCGATAATGGAAATGAAGTTTCACAGCCAGTCTGAGGTTTTTTACCAAGCCACGGGCACTGCAAGCGCCTTCTTCCACTGGGCACCTTAATGTTTCACTTTGAAGTGTGCCTCTAATCTCTAGAGGCAGAAAAAGATGTCCTATGTAAGGGCTTTCAGGAATTAAAAATTCCAATATAAATTTAATAGCTCTCTGTCTGTTTCAGAGGTTTTAGCTCTCTGTGCCCAGACCTATGCAGCTAAATCCCAACCAGCCCAAGCTTTGTCAGCCTCCTAAAGCTGCTCTAACAGGGATCGTTCATAGATTTTATGCAATAATTTACTAGTCCTAAAATATTTTAATTTGTCATTTGTGCAAGACACTGAAATATAAAGTTAGCTATGAATAAAGATCATTGGGTTGATGGTTTCTTCTGTTGTTGCAGTTTTCCAGGAATAAAACTGGCCTAATATTAGGAAAATAACATTAATGTTTGGAAGGCAAGGGGTCAGAAGTATATTCCTAATATTAGGCGACACAGTAGTCTGGCATGACTCTTGCTAATTGCCAATCTTTGTAAACACGATAAAGGTAAGTAAAAAAATTAGTAGAATAGAGATACATCAGAGAAGGATGCTGAAAGGAAAGCTGGTACCACCAGGAAATACATGGGGATGGCAGGGATTGCAGTGAAGTCCAGCAGCTGGACTTTGATGACCCTTGTAGGTCCCTTCCAAGTCAGGATATTCCATGATTCCATGGTGTGGTGTTCCACAGCCCCACAACCTCCCTCAGTGTGACCCAGCAATACCTTCTGAACCAGGAGGACTCCACACTCTACAAGGATCCATCGTTAGAACATTCCTATTTCAAGTATCATGGGGGCTACTTGAAATTATTCTTTACAACCTTGAGGCTGCACTGTGGGTCTTCATTTCTGCCTCTTGGAACATTCCTTGTGTCCCATCAAGTAATTTTTGGCACAAGATCTGAGTTTAACATAAAGCATATATTTGCACACTTGTTTATTGATGGGTTTGTATATCTCTGGTGTAAGTAGATACAATCTTTAAGAGCAGCAAAAGCTGTCCTTTGTAAGGACTTTCAGAAATTAAAAATTCCAATAACTAGTTTAGTACCCGAGAATAATGTAGAAATACTTGACTAGAGAAATACTAGCATTAGAAATAATATGACAATATTAATGAAAGCTCAGTGGAAGATCTATAAGGACAATGCACTACCTCCTCCACTGACTGCAAGTATTAAGATTAATCACCATACTGGAATAACTCATTTATTATTACACAGTAAAAATATACTACTCTCATAGTCATCCAACACCCAGAACATAGTTGCAATAATCAAAAGATTTTGTGGTAACTAGAACAGTAGCTCGTTCTTCAGTAGCTGGTAATGGAAATGAAGTTTCACAGCCAGTCTGAGGTTTTACCAAGCCACAGTCACTGCAAGTGCATTCTTCCACTGAATACATTAATGTTTCACTTTGAAGTGTGTGTCTAATTTCTTCTGTATTCACACTGCTGTCAGTATTAGCCTTGAGAATATTATTCAGCTCTACAGAGGAGTCTGTAAATATACAGAAGTTAATATAGTACATACATCATCCTATACCAAACATGCAGTTATTAAAGATCCAAATTTCATTATGTTCCAACTATGTTCTAACCTTAGTGAAAGTTTTAAGATGTAGTTATATATGATGATCTTTTGTTCCATGAAAATATAACTGCTATACTTCAAGCATTGAAGTAATCAAACACATATTTCTAATAAGTTATTATTTATTGTCTGAACATTCACAAATACAGTATTTGTAAAATGTAAAAAGAGATTAAATTTTTTCACTGTCACAAAATATACCACATAGGCTTCTCACACGCTGCGATACTAAATAAAATTATTTAAATTATTACAAGATGAAAAGCTAATATTGAATGTGTATCCTTTACCTTTTGCATTCAAAGAGAAGAGGGTGAAACCCTTATAAAGGTTTTTGCTATTGAGGGTTCATAAATGACTTCTCAAACACCAGTAAGTAAGCCAGGTATGAATATACAACCATACAATCCTGGCAGGATCTGGAACCAACAAAGAGAGATTCCTGCTTTTGCAAGTCACCATCTGGGTATTTTATTGCCTAATAACTTTGATAACTTCATGGAGACTATTTGAGGAATACAAAACAATCCAACAAAGACAGTCATCAGAATCGGGAATATAAATGATATGCAAAATTTGTACATGGGAAGAGCAGCTAAAATATGCAATGATCTCAGATTATTTATAAAGAATCTTATTTATTCACCTGTGTTTTCCAGTTTTTCTTTTGACTGCTTTAGGCGCTTCCTTTTAAACAAGACCATTAAGGTGAACAGAGCGAGCATTAAAATTACTCCTAAGCCCAAACAAATCCAAAGAATTCCACTTGAATCGGTACCTTATGAAATAAAAGAGATGCATGAAGTTAATCATAAACAATAAGTAATGTACAGTAAACATGTCCAACACATCAAACCTCTGTGTAAAATACAACACAAGAGTGCCCAGTGCAGCCACAAAATGCTGCAGCAACACACTTACTCTGCTCACAGTAGTTCTCACACGAAGGCGGTGGCGAACTGGAACATCGGAGATGACAAGGCGTACAAGAGAGCAGCAAATGATCAAAGTATTCATTTTTGGGGCAGGGTGCCATCAGGGGCAGTAATTATGGAACTACAAAGCCACAGAAATTGTAAAAGAGCGAGGATCATCTACAAAGGACTTCTCAGTTCTCAGTTTGAGCAACTCTAAGAGCAGCTAGCAATAATGGACTTCCATCACAGCCCCACTTCATAGTATCGCGTTACATAGAAGGGATTTAACTCTGAGGTCCCCAAGGAATTACTGTTCCTTTTTTTGGCAATTCACAATTGTAGAAAAACTGAGCAGCTGCACCAATCTTGTCTGAAACAGAAAATGGTTATTTATAGAAGGCATTTCTTGGACAGGTGCTGAAGATTACAAACTATAGAAAAGAAGATCTCCAAACAGGAGTTCATAATAATTTTTTCTGTCTCTAAAACTTTGTGGTGATGGGCTGCAGTAATCATGTTTTTATAATATGCAATGCTTACTTTTTGTCCCAGTCCAAAGATAAAAAAACTCAGAGGCAGGAGGCATAGCAGTAAGAAGACATGAGCAGTTCAGTTCCTGGGTTTGCCACGGACTCACTCTGCAGCTTCAGACAACTTCCATCGTCCCTGTTCCCCTGGATGGACAACAACATTTAAAACACACAGCTGATGAAAGAATTACTTCTTGTAAATGAATGGGGTTCTGATTTTAAAAGAGATACTGTTAAATTACAAGTTCAACAAGAACTTCATGATTGTGTTGTATAAATTACTTCTAAGAACTTCAGGTATAATGGAATGACAAAATCTAGAGATTTGGTCACTGGGATATTGCTCCTCAATTCCAAATTAGCCTCATTTGTCTAGTCTATTAGGTTTTGAGAGGCTTATTTGCTGGGTTCATTTTTGGGATTTTAGCTATTGTTTTGCTTATAACCATGGTTATATGAGACATTTAATAATATTACATTCTAATCATGAAAGAAAAACTTTATCGATATTTTAAAATTTTTATTCAAAACATTATCTGCATTTTTCCCTTATTTTTCCATAATACATAATTGTCACTGTGCTATAACTGCAGTACCCAGCATGGAAAAATACGTGTATATGACACCTCCTTCCCAGCCTGGTAGATGTATACACAGTGAATGTAACATTTCTGAAAATGTATTTGGTCTTCTCACAGGAAAAAGAAAAAGCTTTGGCAGGAGACTGCCACAATGAAAACAGTTCACACAGCTAACTTGTATCTTGATGGCTTAATCTTATAGATTTATTTTAAATACAAAGTTAACCATAGTTAAGTTAACAAAGTTAAGTAATATCTAGCAAGTAGCAATAACTGTCCCTATCCAGATCAGAATTACAGGCTTATTTATAATTAAATTTCTCTTTGCCATGTTGAAGTTAATTGCCTTTTTGACTACAGAAAGAGAAAAGTAAAACATTGTATAAGAAACTGTGATGTCATACCACCTTGCTATGTACGAGACTTATTCTCCCACAAAATAAACCATGTGGGAATACACAAACTGTTTGGAGTGGAACAGTGTAACAAATCTGTATTCTAGTCTCTAGCAGATGGAAATGTTTATTGTGTCTTCTGCACTAGTTTCTATGGGCCAGGTGCACAGCTGAAGGCTTTCTATTGTAGGCATTTCTCCCTATTCTAAACCAGTGGATAAATAGGAATTGACAAAATCCAGTTTAGTTGTGACAAAAGAAAATAAGGACCACAGGTGATGCCAAAAATTTCACTGGGAAGCCAATGCTTGTTCTGACTTGCCTCATATATTTACACTCCTGGGGAAGAAACCCAGATTATGGCTCAGATATCATTCATGTTTCTGATGAAGCTTGTGCACAGAGTAATTTGAGCCTTTGGTTTGAAGATGCTATTCAACCTTTTCAGTCACGGAGAGGACAGTCACATTCTCAAC